TGGCTGCCCATGTCACGCAGACAAGAGCGAGGCAAGGACGGGAGTAGATGAGAGAGAGGGTTAGAGGGAGAGAGAGAAAGAGAGAGAGAGAGAGAGAGAGAGAGAGAGAGAGAGAGAGAGAGAGAGAGAGAGAGGAGAGAGAGAGAGAGGAGGGGAGAGGAGGGTGGTGCGACACCCGTGGCCCGCCAGTTCCGCTCCTCGCGGCCCGTGCCGCTCTGTGACTGGGGGCGATATTTTTACCCCGTTCCTCGGACGAACGGTCCGCCCGAACAGAGCGCGCTGCGCTGTTCAGTCACCAGCATTATCGATGACTTGTTTTTCACCCCAGCCCCGAACCTTTGTTATCTCGGGCGACTTCCGAGTAGGAACGAGCAGACATATTTCCGAAATTAGCCTACGCGGGAACGTGGACGATGTTGGTCATGAACTGGCCAAGAGGGTGACTGGACAGGGCAGGCAGGTCGCATATTGACGGACCCTTTGACGTCCCAAGAATGCATGTTCTTTTGTTGCTGGTGCCATTGCAGACATTGCTGGTGCCGTGTCGCGGTGGTGTAATTTTCCGACTTCCAAGGACACCGGGAGGGTCCCGGCGCAGAGGCACCATGTATCGTAGAGGGTCGTATGGCGCTTCCGTCCGACTATCTGCGGCGGACAGAGGTATAGTGGCCGAGGACAGCGGCAGCCAGGAGGGTGCTGGTAGAGCCGTGTGTCGCGGAGAGCTGTATGGCGCTTCCGCTCGCGACTATCTGCAGCGGACGCCGGTCAGACGTCGGTGCTACGCTGCTCTGCCACCGAGCGTATACTGCTCTGCCACCGAGCGTATACTGCTCTGCCGGCGGGCCGTGCTAGTCTGACGCCCGACTGTCGCCCAGTCCTTTTGTATCTGTACCGCGGGACCAACAGCGGAGTACGTTATAGGTGTTACAGGATTAAATTATAGAGGCTTTGGTGTACTTTCCTAGCTAAAACTTGGTTGAAACGTTGTGGATATAAGCCAGAGTACTACAAAATGAGCAATTAAATCTCACTCATTGCCTGATGCCTTGAAGGTCACTGGTGTCCTGTGCATTTGTGGTGCTTCATACAGGGTGGAAAGTAATTACGCGAACATACTTTTTCGTCTTCTAGTAATGAAAAAAACGGCGGTGACATAAACAATATATGTTTTACTTTATCCTTATCTAGTTGCGATGCATTGACATAGGCGTTCCGGCATGATTTACATCAGCATGTGAAGATCTGTTGGCCAAAGCTCAGCCCACACCTTATGGAGCTGTCCAGTGAGGTAATCGGTGTTGGTGGCTCCTTGCAGCTTTTAGACGGTCTCCTGAGGAGTCATCTGGAGATTTTTAATCGAATTGAGGCCCAGGCGTTTCCCAGATCAGCTTTTGTATGTCCTGAAGAAAAACAGGTTCTCACAGCACCAGTATTGCGTTTTGTTGGCCGTGAAAGTAAGGATTTCACCAATCACGAAGAGCAGTTTCTTTGCGTCAGGCACAAAAGTGCGCTCAGTCATTTTGCCCCTTTCGTTGCACGGTGGATTAGACAGAGACACTCGTCTTGGAGGATGTTCCACCGGTTGTATACTTTATTTTTAGTGACCTTTTTTAGCGCTACACGCAATTCTGACACCACCCGGGGGCTCGTGACCCACTGATGTGTTCCTTTGCCGGATGTTTGAAGGTTGGGACGGACGGGACATAGGACGCAACAGCAGCCCTCAGAGCAGTTGTTCTGCAGGTTTGACGGATGAAACAGTTTCACAGATGTCTCACCCAACCACAAATCCAGCTGCCTGTCCTCCTCTGTCCATCTTTGATTGTCTTTGAAAAGCTTCAATTAACAATTCTGCTGTTAATTCGTGAATTTTGGTCATCCCGAGGGTTTGTACGACTTAATTTTCGAATTTTTGCGTATTAATGTGCGAATCGTGATATCTTAGATCGGGTACCCGGCCAGAGTAAGCTATTTTGCCAGTTTTCGGGTCGACTGGCGTCGTTTTGTCGCCGACATGGTGACCACCCGCCCGGCGGCAGAATTCGCCGAGGGGTTGCTGCCGCGGACGGCTTTGCTTTTTAAGTCCTCTCAAGTGTTATTATGTTAAAAAAAACGTATACAAATTGTGCAATGCTGGTGCTGAGACCACTACGAATCCCTTCTCCGCCAATCCAGCGAAAATAATCATAAACGCTTTCCCTGGCAGCTCCAAATTGAGCTCTTTGCCCATTTCGGTCTTGTGCAGCGTATGGTGTCTGCACCATTTTAAGTCGAGAGGTGTTTAAGACCTTCCAGGTCATTGTTCAAAGTTGGGTCACTTTTGGTAGATGAGGCGACAACAAACACGACCAATTATGTTCCATGACAGCCCGTACTCATAATAATGCTCCACTGACGGTCAAAATTGTAAGAAAATACATGTTCGCGTAATTACTTTCCACCCTGTAGGTCGGTAGATGCTCCAGCCGCTCGGAGCCGGGAGCTGGGAGCCGCCGGACAGAGCCGGAGCCTCGGGTACCGTCGGGAGCCGAGCGGGAGCCGGCCGTATCCACCAGTGTCCCAGTTGCGGCCAGCGGCCTGCAGGAAGCCCGAGCTCTATCTGCGCCTCTTCCTGATGTCCGCCGGCCGAGTCGGCCCGTGGCCCACGCGCCACGGAGCTTCCGGCACGTGCGGCCGGGCCGCTCGTGCGGTGGCCGACGGCCGCTATTAGGTGTCAACCGGAACTGGACATTTTGGAGTCGCAATTTTTGTCCAAAGTCCAATTCGAAAAAATTCGTGGCGGAAGATGAATTAACCCGCGCCCGGCTGGGGGTCCTGGATTTCCACGCCCTGCTGGGGGGGGTGTTTGAACACCCCCCCTTGTAACTCGGCTCCTGGGCCACGTAGCGATACGCGGAAGGCGGCGTTCGAAAGAGCGTCAAAAATAATGACGAAATCACTTCGGTCAATTTTTTGGTCAGGTCAAAGGTCAGGTCACCAGAGGTCATGGAAGGCAAAATTTCGCCGATTTCCAGGTCGAATGTCGAAAATTTCCAAGAAGCCAACGCATAACTCGGGAACCAATAGAGCTACAGCGCCGCGGAAAAGCGCATTCGATAGCCCTATTAACGCCCTTTCTGAGTAATTCTCTCAGATTTGACCTAACTTCAACGGTTTTGCCTGCAGGGGGCAAAAACTGCAAAAATAGCCGATTTTTTTCGGAAACAGTTTTTCTGCAATAACTTTTGACCCAAGCCCTGTACGAGCTTACTTTTACCGTCATCGTGTTCCTCTCGTCAAGACGCATCGAATGAACTATAACTTGACCTTGAAAGGTCAACTTGAAAATTTGACCTCAGGTCAAGGTCATGACCTGACCGGAAAGGGTCATGTTGCATATCAGTCGATCCGTATCGTCGAGCTGAACACATCTAAGGCGTTTTCATCGCTCTAGCATGCCTCTATCAAAAGTTATTTGCGAAAAACTGTTAGATACCATTCGTGACCTAAGATGACCTCAGGGCATAAACAAGGGTCACGGACGCCATTTTCATGTTCAGTGTGTCTAAACCACTTGTAATTGGGTGTTTAGGAGTGTTTATAATGTCTTTCGTCCAAAAGAGGCGCATTTCAATTTTCTCCCATTGACTTATAATGGGGAGGTCGCAAAATTGACCTGACCTTAGGTCATCGATATCAAAATTCTGGGATATAGATTTTGTACATGCTATTGCTCTTAGCAATCGCTGAAAGTTTCAAAGCGATCGGTCACTCGGTGTAGCTATGACAGACATTGAAACTTGTTATGAGGTGAGGTCACTTCAAGTGACCTGGTGACCTGACCTTGAATGACCTTGGTCTGAAATTTTCACAACATGTGTAGAATTGATGTATGATAAGTTGTACCAAAAACGGCGGCGCTCCGCGCCGCCGTTTTTGAGATATTCGCGAAAAACCACAAGGGGGGTGTTCAAACACCCCCCCCCCCAGCTGGGCGCGGGTTAAAATGTATTATTGGCAATTCAATTTTTACGCTTCACATTTTTTCACATTTCACACATATGTTCTCCTTAAAAAAAAAACATGTGCGAAACTAACCTTATTTGAGTGAAAACGGTGTATTGTATCAGTAAATATTTGGTTCATGCTGGTTTTCCCAATTTAAATCTAAAACGTATCGGCGTTTTAAAATCGGCAGATTTGATAGTAACCAAAACATGTTTAGGTTTCCTAGTCGTTTCGGGCTTCGGCAGTTTTTAGCCGAACAGCTGTCGGAAGAACTCACGCTTATGCAACAAAAAATACACGGGTTGAAGCAGCAAGTGTGCTAACACAGATGGCCTTGGCTAACACGGCGGAATGGGTCTGGTCGGAGGGGGAAGCAAAATTAAAGAGGAAATATCGGAAAGGATGAGAGAGGAAGACAACGGAAGAGAAGAGTGGGGAGCCATACTTTGCGCTGCCTTGGGCATTCTCGTTTGGAAATGCAGCTGCCCGTCTATATGGCGCTGTATTTGCGATTCATTGATCACGCTATTGGGAATGGAAACTGTTATATAATGCTCTCCGGACGTGGTGTGCGCGGTGTGGACGTTATCTGAACAGGCCGAGAGAAGAACGTCCGGCTGAGCAGGGTGTAACGCATGGAACCTTTATGACGACGATGTGCGATCACAGGGTGGGAGGAACTTTGAACTTCCTTATTTAAACATTCGACCAATACCTACACGCTGCATTGTATACTGAATGCCGCAGTACGGCTGTTCAGTGTAATTTCTGTGCATATGTATTCTTTTTCTCGCTGATCTGTGCGGCGCTGTTTCTGACACGGCCGGTGTCCTGTTTGTTTACCAGGTGGCTGCTGTTGCTGGTGATATTAGTCACAGAACTTCAGCAGAGCACCGTGCTGGCCAGGAGAAAGGTGAGCTGACTGATAAGTCGGACGCTTGCGCCAACATAGTTTCACATAATTAGGTACACTCCAAAAACACAACTAGACTGAACTGAACCAAACTAAACTAATGCGTTTTGCTCACCTCTGACGTGTACTTGTTGCATTTTCTATAAATATTACTTTCAGCTCCTGTTTTTTTTTTTGTGGTCCGATTTCATCTCTGCGTCCGCGGCTAGTTCTCACTGACACCTCGGTGTCCTTTGTTCTCTCACAGCACCGGATACGTCATGCGCACCACCGGCGTCCTAAGCGGCAGCACGGCGGTAGCCAGGTGTACTCGTATGTGCTGGAGCGGGACGCCGGCCCGTGGGGACTCTGGGGCACCCAATCGCCCTGCTCGCGATCCTGTGGCGGCGGAGTGGCCTTCCAGACCCGCCGCTGCACGGACGAGAGGTGAGCTTTTCGGCAACGCTGGAAACGAGAGGTGAGCAATTTCGACACCCCGACCTGTGTTTAAACAATCAACGAGAGGTAAGCGCTTGAAGTGGACCAATCAATATTTTATGTTAGATCGAAATGTCAGCTTTCTGTCTTTCACTGTTCCACTACTAATGAAACGAAAAGTGAGCCCCCTCTCTCTCTCTCTCTCTCTCTCTCTCTCTCTCTCTCTCTCTCTCTCTCTCTCTCTCTCTCTCTCTCTCTCTCTCTCTCTCTCTCTCTTTCTCTCTTTCTCTCTTTCTCTCTTTCTCTCTTTCTCTCTTTCTTTCTCTCTCTCTCTCTCTCTCTCTCTCTCTCTCTCTCTCTCTCTCTCTCTCTCTCTCTCTCTCTCTCTCTCTCTCACTCCCACTCTCTATCCCTTCTTCCCCCTATGAGGGAAAGGAAAGAGATAAGATGAACAGGACGTGTATTGTGCTTCTGCGTGTTGGCTGGGCTAGCTCCAGTGTTAGACCATGCCTGTTTTCTGACCTGTCTCGATCTGCTGTTCTCAGGCCCGACGGAACGTCGTCCTGTCAGGGTCCGAACAAGCAGTACCTTTCGTGTAATGTGCAGGTGAGTTTTCCGCTCCACACTTGAACAATCATGTATTATGACACAGGTCTTTTGAGGTCAAGTTGGCTCAATGCAATGATGTCATAAAAGATGTTGCTCATTTGGAGGCAATTGGTCTTCGGTGATCACAGCTGAGCTAGAAATAAAATCGTTAGTTGCGGAAATGGCCAGACTCGGCTTCGGGTTCTCATAATCATGTTATTTCAAGATGAGCTTGCATCTACTTTGTAAACGGTTATAGATGCATACATTCAGATTACTTAATTTAACGTAAGTGGCTAAGGCAACAAAAACAATAAAACCATCGGAGACTGCAATATCCCATAAGGCCCTAGCACCAACAATGCCTTGGTCCTCCTGACCTGTACCGACTGCAAGCACGGTCATGGATGCCTACTAAGTGCAAGTAACGGTTATACGCAGCGGCGTGCGTCGGGCCTGATGAAAAACTACCTACCCCACATGCCGACCAGTGTGGGGAGGGGCAGTGGGGAGGGGTGACCTTTGCCCGGCCCCATGCGGTAGGCGCCGGCCCGACGCGGTCGTAACTTGAAACCAACGACTTGGAGAAGCGGGAAAACGGTCCGGAACTTTATCGCCGTTTGTTTTTGTTGTTTGTTTTCATCCACGGATCCGTCACAATGGTGTACAGTGAATTGTATTAATCCATCAAAGAATAATAATTTCTTCACCATGAACATAAATCGTGAACACAGAACAGTAGGGGAAGTTGGGGCAATGCCGGAATTGGGGCAAAGCCGAAATTCGAGATATTTCGAAAACCGTAAGACATGGATGCCACCTGTCAGTGATGCTCTGAAGCTTAAGTGACTACAATTATCGCATGTTTGTTACGAGTCGTCATTCGGAATACTTCGGCTGTGAGGGCGCCAAGAGCGTTTTCAAGGTACGCGTTCCTTGTACTACATGCGCCTTTGAAGCTGCATTTCTTACTCATTATGCTACCGTTTGTCTGGCTAATTCGGTCAAGTAATCTTCAGCATGTCTTTGCATAAGTGTGCTGCCTATTTAAAATTTATACGGCACGTTGAAAAGTTATGGGCCTGCAAATGAAAGTATGGCTGGATGGGGTAATGCCGAAAACGTGCAATTACGCACGTTAAAGCACGCTACGTGGACTTTACTGCTGTAGAATAGCAACGCGAATTTTAGTTACACAAATTACACTTTCAACCGACACAACGGCCTGTTACCTATAAGGAATTATTTACCTGGCATTTTCTTATTATATCACACAATTATAACTTCCAATGTGCACCAAGCGTCCTCAAGCTCTTAAAACGCGCGTCAGCTTTGATAAATTCTGGATAAAGTTTGAGATAAAGTGGCAAAACATCAATATCGGCATTCCCCGTAGATCATTTCTCCCATTTTCGGCTTTCCCCGCAGTCCGGGGCAACGCCGAAAAAGTCACTTCTTTGATATTTTTTGTTTGTGCGCTTAACGATATGCGAATTCATCAAATGCGCCTGGTATGTTTGAAAGGCAAAAGACTGGCCTCTCGAATGACGCCAACAAGAATAGCTTATGTTGTCTACCTTGCGTGCTACGGGCGTCAGAAAAAAGTATTCGGCGTTCCCCCAACTTCCCCTATGACACGACTTCTGTCTGTGCTTCAGTGACTTCATCATTTTACCGAATTGTCTCTGAGCGTTCCTTATCTTATTCACTTGATTGTATTGAATTTGTTTTTTATTAGTGTTTAAACCGCATATTTTGTGTTTAATTGAAGCTTTTTTGTAAGTTTTATTTTGCATATTGCGGTTAAACGGTTACTCTATCGGAATGCATGCGTCATGCGCAGCACACAGTGCGTTGTACGCTGCGTGTGCCATGCATTATGTAGTGTGTCGGGCACCGGCGTGAGCTCGCGTCCGCCGCCTGTTTCAGCCGTGTCCGGAGGGCACCGGTGACCTGCGCGCCGAACAGTGCGCGGAGTTCGACAGACTGCCGTTCGAGGGGCGGTTCTACAGGTGGGTCACGGTTCAATGTGTTCATGGCACTGAATTACTGGCCGGCTCGCTGTTACTGGGTGTGATACAAGTGCTACTGACAGTGGCATACATTCTGTCTGTCATCTGGGTACCGTGTCCGAAGGTCTCGAACCATTGACGCTTGTTCTGTTCTTTAGCTAGGTACTGCACCCGTACGTTGCCTGAGTGACGCCCCAGTGACATGTTTTGTTCCTTAGCTGGGTGCCGTACCTGAAGGCGCTGAACCAGTGACGTTACCTCTGTTCGTCAGCTGTATATCCGTCACCCGTGACGTGTGTTTTGTTCATCAGCTGGGTGCCGTACCTGAAGGCGCCCAACCAGTGCGAGCTGAACTGTCAGCCCCGCGGGGAGCGCTTCTACTACCGACACAAGAGGAAGGTGATCGACGGAACCAGCTGCGGACCCGAGGGACTCGACGTCTGCGTCGATGGACAGTGTATGGTGAGTGAGCTGCCGCCACACCGGTTTGTCAATGGAGCAGTTTTCCATTTTCCAGCTAGTTTCTGCCGCTGTCACGATAAACGCCTAACCAGTGCCTCCGGCTGCCCACTGACCTCTGTCTCTCTGTCTCTCTGTCTCCGTCGGCAGCAAGTGGGCTGCGACCGGATGCTGGGCTCCACAGTGAAGGAGGACAAGTGCCGCGTCTGCGGCGGCGACGGCAGCGACTGCTACACCGCCGAGGGCCTGTTCGACGCCGAAAACCTGCAGGCCGGCTACAACGACATCCTGCTGATCCCCCAGGGTGCCACCAACATCCTCATCGAGGAGATCCGAGCCACCAACAACTACCTGGCCATCCGCAACCTCACCGGACACTACTACCTCAACGGAAACTGGCGCATCGACTACCCGGACACGCTCGAGTTCGCCGGCAGCAAGTTCCATTATGAGAGGAAGCCGCTCGGCTTCTTTGCGCCCGAGAGTGTGCGGGCGCTGGGACCAACGACAGAGGCTCTCTACGTGGTGGTAAGCAGTGAACACCATCCTCTGCCCCACTGTTGGCTGCTTCGTGTTTTTGTGCATGCCCACGCGTGCATCATGAAAAGCATTAATTGCATAGGTGAAGAAAATAAATACCAACACAGTTTCAAGTGAGTTTAAAAGAGCGCTCAATTTTTTTCAGCATGGATTTAGGATAAAATTACATAACGCTGCCTTTGGCTGCATTTACCTTCCAACACTATGGTGTCCGTCACGTCAGCCCTGAACGGCTATGTTCGTCATTCACTGACAATTGACACCATCTAACATGTATTTCACATTGTTCTGCCTCATCACTGACACTGCTCGTTCTTTCCACCAGCTGCTGTACCAGGAGAAGAACGAGGGCATTCAGTACGAGTACAGCGTACCCCGCTCAGTGGCCGACGCCGGCAGCTCCGAGTACTCGTGGGTTCCCTCCGGATGGTCCGACTGCTCGCAACAGTGCGGAGGAGGTATGGGCTACTTTTTCATAGTACGACATAGTTCTCACTTCTTGGCTTTAGTTGATTGGTTGGCCAGATGAGCGACAAGCCTTCGTACATGTTTGTATTTAAAGAATTTTGGTTGGAAGTGTCAGCTGGAGACTAGTTGAAGTGTTATTGTCGAGGAGAAATGTGATTGATTCAAACCTAAGGCGCCTAAAGTGTCTATTTATGCGAGTTTTAGAGATCTATTTTAGTGCAGACCTTTATGTTCTGAGTTCTGACGGTGCCTGGGAGATCCTCCCTCTAACAAGACTGCCATCGTGACGTGTGTGGTCGGCGACAGGCACCCGCAGTCGTCAGCTGAGCTGCATCAGAAGCGAGGACCGAGTGGAGGTATCGTCCGACCTCTGCGACGTGCTGGTCAAACCGGCGGAGTCCGAGGTCTGCAACGAACAGCCCTGTCAGGCCAGGTCAGTCAGCGCTGGTGATACGGCAGTATACCATACTTAGTTTGGTGTTTTATTCCTACAGGCTACATTTATTTGTATATTTTTAATTCAGGTCTACCAATCCGGGGTGGGGAGAGGGAGGGTCTTGTGTCATATCACACGCTATTTCTAGTATTAATCCTACTTTCGGAAGATGATAAATCTCTATCCTGCCCGCAGCTGGAAGGTGGGCAACTGGTCCGAGTGTTCGGCCGGCTGCGGCCAGGGTGGTGTACGCTACCGAACCGTCACCTGCGAACAGAAGGTCAGCGGAGACGTCCAGGCCGTGGTGGACGACCAGATGTGTGCGCGCACGGCCGGCGCGCGACCGGCGCACATGGAGGAGTGCAACACGGACCCGACAGACTGCCCCAGCTACCACGTGGGCGACTGGTCACCGGTGAGTGTTCCTGATTTAGACAGAGCCAGAGACAGAGACAGAGACAGACACAGACGCAGACACAGACACAGACACTGACAGACACGGACCCGACCGACTGCCCCAGCTACCACGTGGGCGACTGGCCACCGGTGAGTGTTCCTGATGTAGGCAGAGACACACACAGACACACAGATCGACACGGACCCGACCGACTGCCCCAGCTACCACGTGGGCGACTGGCCACCGGTGAGTGAGATCCAACACAGACCCATACCTGGACTGAACTGATACGACCCGACCCGACCCTGTTAGTGTGATTATTGTGTTAGCACTGGCGACTATGCCCTGACGTGCCTCATCCGTCCTGCTAGTGTGACTGTATTGTGGTGCCATCTCCCTTATTATAAGCAGTACGATCTGACGCTTGTTACTGTGCGTCAGTGTGTTCTGACTCGTGTCTTCTCTACGCTCCAGTGTGACCGGTTGTGCGGTGACGGTGAGAAGACGCGCCAGGTGCTCTGTCACCGGGTGACCAGCACGCAGACCGTGCTGCTGGAGCCCTCCGAGTGCGAGGAGGCCATGCCGAACGCCACCGAGCCGTGCTTCCTGCGCCCGTGCGAGGGAGTCGACTGGGTCACCTCCGACTGGAGCGGGGTGCGTACAAGTTTAGCTCTCGTCACTACTGGGGATACTGACATTGTATAATAATGGCACTCAGGAATACTGGCGCACCATGGTTCCCTTTTTGTCGATTGTGGTCCTTCCTGTTAGCCCATAATTGCCGCGATGCTTGCGCCATCAAACAGAAACCAGCAACCATTAATTATAGCTGTTTTGATAGCAGTATATACGGTATAAAAAAGCTAGGATCGCAATGTTAATGGGAATTATATGCCGACCGACCTTTGCACGTTCATTGCTGGCGATTTGCTTATTTCCGAAATCCGCTCAATTCACGTATATGTTCTGTCCGATCTCCGACAGTGCGAGGGCAAGTGCGGCCTGCAGACAGAGACCCGCAGCGTTCAGTGTGTCAACATGGAGGGCCAGGCGTACGACGACGAGTACTGTCAGCAGAGCCGGCGGCCGGGCACGCGCCAGGATTGTCTGTCCTCCGTGCCGTGCGCGTACAGCTGGTACACCACGCAGTGGAGCGAGGTCAGTCCTGTTTTACTTCGAGTTCTCTCGATTTTCTTCGATGTTGAGCTAATGTAGCTCGTTTCCTCTGATGCACCCTCTCTCCCTCTCCCTCTCCCTCCCTCCCTCCTCCCTCCCTCCCTCCCTCCCTCCCTCCCTCCCTCTCTCTCTCTCTCTCTCTCTTTCTCTCTCTCTCTCTCTCTCTCTCTCTCTCTCTCTCTCTCTCTCTCTCTCTCTCTCTGTCTCTGTCTCTGTCTCTCTCTGTCTCTGTCTCTGTCTCTCTGTCTCTCTGTCTCTCTGTCTCTCTGTCTCTCTGTCTCTCTCTCTCTCTCTCTCTCTCTCTCTCTCTCTCTCTCTCTCTCTCTCTCTCTCTCTCTCTCTCTCTCTCTCTCTCTCTCTCTCTCTCTCTCTCTCTGTCTCTCTCTGTCTCTCTCTGTCTCTCTCTCTGTCTCTCTCTCTGTCTCTCTCTCTCTGTCTCTCTGTCTCTCTCTCTCTCTCTCTCTCTCTCTCTCTCTCTCTCTCTCTCTCTCTCTCTCTCTCTCTCTCTCTCTCTCTCTCTCTCTCTCTCTCTCTCTGTCTCTCTCTCTCTGTCTCACCTCTCACTTGCTTTCTATGGTGATCCATCCATAATGTTTCATCCCGTTTCATTCGGTGTTCTCTCTCGATGACCCGGCTCTCCCTCCTGTGTCTGCAGTGCTCGGCGACCTGCGGGTCTGGTCTGCAGACCCGGCGGGTGTTCTGCGCCTCCGTCAACGATGAGGGGATGATCGTGCCCACGGAGGATGAGCACTGCGACCCGGAGCGAAAATACGACGGCGAGAGGGAGTGCGAGGCAGAGAGCGAGACCTCGTGCGCAGCCAGCTGGATGGCGGGACCCTGGGGGCCGGTGAGAGCAAAGCTGCTGATAAGACAGACAAGGGAGGTCCCGATTAAATCGGCTTAATTTTTCCTATACGCTAAGCGAACATGCTGGGCTCTAGCACTCTCACCTTTTTCTGACACTACAGTTAAGTGCACATAAATATGTGCATATGTGTAAGTGCATATGTGTAGTCGCTTGGACACTGCGTGTAAATAATTTGTATAGTATGACACCGAATGTCAATAACCTGTTGTCCCTGTGATCTCCAGTGCTCTGCCTCGTGTGAGGGCGGCACCCAGTCGCGCGAGGTGTTCTGTACTGACGGACAGAACCGCGTGGACATCGCGCTCTGCGGAGACGAGACCATTCCTAGCGCCCTCCAGGAGTGCAACCAGATGGAGTGCGCGGCCGCAGGTCAGTTCACACTTACCACAACTCCACTGACACGAAACAGTTCAGGAACAGTCATTACGACCATTTCTTATGCATTGAAAAAATGATTACATAAGGCGATTTATGGCAGCGCCGTAAGTGAGCATTCCTGTAAAAGTGCGGCTGGTTTTGACCAGTTTTGACCTTCTTTGAACCATGAACGACACAGGTCCTAATGCCGCTGCCTGCCGTGTTTTACAGAGGAGATAAAGAAGCTGACTCTCATCGCCTCCCTGGCGTTCGACCCGTCTGCTCTGGACGAGGAGTGCGCCGAAGAAGACCAGGTGGGCCGAACAATAGTTTCTAGAGAACTGCCATTTTGCGACAGCTCAGGTCATATCGCTAGCAACTTACCTTAGACCGGCCGGTGGGCATGTGCTTTGCGGCACAACATATGTTCAGGCGCTCACAACTAGTGACATCTATCGGAGGAGTATGGCATGCGCAAAAAAAACTTTTAGTTGCAACTTACAAATAACGCGGGCCGTGCCAGTGCCTTTTCCGACAGCAAACAGACCGTGGGAGTTTTATGTTCCTCTCTCCAAATTGGCTGGCTGCCCATGTAACAGCAAATAGATGGCACAAAAATGCGCCCGTTCTCAACAGTTTATGCTGATTGATAAACGGTGGCTAAACGGGAATGTGATATTAACGGCCAGTCTTGTCTGTTTCAGGCGCTGTTCTCTGGTGGAGGTTCCGGCGCCGATTTGGATGACGGGCTCAACGTTGACTTCTTGGACCTGCTGGCTCGCGCTCGGGAAGAAGAGGCGGCCAAGGACTCAGTGGATGACTCTGGGCTGAGCGGAGCTTCCGGCGAGGACTCGAGCTCCTCCGAGGAGGACTCGAGCTCCTCCGAGGAATCCATGTCGTCTGAGGAGTCCGGATCAGAGGAGGAGTCGGGCATGCCGGACCTAGGCGACGATGACGGCGAAGATATGTCCGGAGAAATGGCAGCCGATATGTCTGGCGAAATGTCGGCCGATATGTCGGGCGAGATGTCCGGAGAAATGTCGGCCGATATGTCCGGAGAAATGTCCGGCGAATCTGTTACCACAGATCCTCCCAAGGAGGTACTGGAAGGTCTGGAGTCCATCGAGCGCTTCAAGCGTCAGATATCCATCAATCCATCTGCTCTAGACGACGTGACTTTGGACAGCTCGGTGGAGTCATCGGGAGATATGTCCGGAGAAATGTCTGGTGATATGTCCGGAGATGAAGATATGTCCGGGGAAATGTCTGGAGAAAGCTCCGGACTTGAGCCTTCCGATATATCTGGAGACATTTCTGGGGAAATGTCTGGTGACATGCCTGAGCTTAGCGACGAGATGCCGATGGAGTCTGACGGCGATGTGACATCTGGCGACATTTCGGCTGATGTCTCCGGCGACATGTCTGGAGAGGCTTCCGGAGATATGTCAACCGAGGACATGATTGAGGACTCTGGCTCCGGAGAGGAAATGTCCTCAGAGAAGGCGTCTGGTGAGTTCATCGACATGATCAGCGGAGAGGCTGTTGAAGACGACGCCGTCAGCGGAGACGCCAGCGGAGAACTCAGCGGAGAACCCAGCGGAGACGCGATGGATGACGAGATCAGCGGCGAGGACATGATGAAGACTGGAGATGTCAGCGGGGAGATGAGCGGAGAAGTCAGCGGAGATATTAGCGGAGAACAACTGCTACCGGGAGAGCTCAGCGGAGACGATTCGACCGAAGAGTCCGGAATGGAGAGCGGAGAATCCGGCGAGGAATCAGGCGAGGAGTCCGGAGAGGAGAGCGAGGAGTCTGGGGAGGAGATGGAGTCTGGAAGCGGAGAAATCGACGAGCTGATGCCGGCCAGTGGAGAGGAGGAGGATCAGCTGATGCCGGACGGCTCCGCTGAGGGCTCCGGCGACATCTCCGGCTCCGGGGACGAGGAAGGTAAGTATCGCCGGTGCAGCCAGGGCATGCAGCTGACAAATAAGGTCTGGTTGAAATATATGTCTATGTGCAAAACGCTTCAATAAAATTGTTTGCCTTTATTTCATCAAATACGTGCGTTTCCTGTTTGCGCTTTGCATGCATATAATGAGTCGGTAAAGTACGATGTATTCTTATTGTGTGCGGTTCAGTGTATTACTTTTTATTTACTTACGAATCATTGGCAATGTTCCACGGTGTCCACAGACGAGCTGATGCCTCGTTTCGGAGGCGACACGGATAAGGAGACTGCTGATGAGAAGAAGGACCGGTGCCGACCGCGCCCGGTGCGGATCCTGTGCGAGGCCGCGGAGTTCGGCTGCTGCCCCGACGGTCTGACGGTGGCCGCCGGACCCTTCCACCGTGATTGTCCGGAGGTAAGTTACGCAGAGCTAAATTGTCCACGGGTCAACGTCACACGCGGGGCCACTGCATTTTATCGTACAAAGCCTCACAGCCCGGCTCACTGACTTGGCGGAGCAAAGAAAAACAAATTGTTGAAACCGTATCACCTCTCCGCCCGTCTTGACACAAATCAGTCGTTGCAATGCGGCCATACCTTGTGTCGGCTCGACAGTGTGTCAGCATTTCCGTAGCGTTTTCTCTCACCGCCAATCCCTTCGCCAGGTGACCAGCTGCCAGAAGACCAAGTTCGGCTGTTGTCCGGACCGCGTCACGCCGGCCGGCTCCGAGGACATGTCCGACTGTCCGCCGGCGGCCGACTGCACTAAGTCGCTGTTCGGCTGCTGTCCGGACAACTTCACCGAGATGGAGGACGCCGAGGGCAGCAGCTGCCCCAACGTCACCCGCGAGTGCGAGGTTTCCAGGTGAGATGTGTGTGGTAATGCAGAGACTAGGCCCGCTGTGCCATAGAGATCTTATATACATGTATATAAGATCTCTATGCGCTGTGCCGCCTACCGTACTCCTATCAGGTGCCGTCTGTTATAGACGCAGATGCGCTGTCACTGCACTAAACACGAAGAACAATTAGTCGAGCTCATTGAACAGACTATAGTCTGTTTTTCGTATCTTCTACCTTCACTCAAAGACGGTAAACTCTCTAATCACGTGCTCCAGCGAACATCTTATTAAATCAACACCGCTGCAAAGTCAATTTTTATCTCGAACGCAAGATCGAACGTCTGTCCCCTTGGCCTATCTCGTTAATCAAAATGCAATTGTTCTTTGTCAAGTGAAATGCATTTGCATAAAAACGTGTCATCATATTTTCATTCTGGCAAAATTATCCCTTTCTAATTTCATTATGTTTTCAAACAACAGAAGGGCAATGGTTCGATAAGGTCTCAGACAAGACAAAATGATCTTAACGTTTTCTTTCAATGTTTCAAAGCAAAAGAAATGTGGGTTAGGTGACTGAAATAAGGCGGTGAAGAAGGAGCACAACCAACGAATATCGCCAGAATAACGAACTTACTTCCTTGGATACCAGAAAGAAAAGTGTTGAAGGCGCGGAGAAACATCGACGGTGGTGGCACAGTTCAACTCCGTCATGCTTTCAGCGCAATATAATACGAAAAATGCATACGTGGGTGTTATTGTTGTTATTACCTGCATTTGTGTATCATAATATAAGCCCTAAGGCGTTGGTGATTGCCAGCGGTCAAAAAGTCATGTCAGATGATAAAGATCACCAGCAGCTTTCGACAATAGCTAATAGCTGCTAGAACTAAAAATGTTTCGACGGCGCTGTAGTTCAATCGGTTGAACAATGTTTGGTCAGATTTGTGCAAACATGTTGAGCTCGGGAGTTTTTTAAATTTATGACCTTCAGTGGCCTTCACTATTGACCTCAGCAAAATGCGGCATATACTATATACGTATACCTACTGCTGAAAGTAATTGTTGAAAGTTATCGATTCTTGCCCGCGTCTTCGCATCTTTCTTACTTTTCGGGATGATCGCGTGAGGCCAAATCTGCCTGGGGACCCCCAAGCGGGCGTGGGCTAAGACAATTTTGTTATTCGTCGGTGTAAAAGTTATCGCAACGTAAATAAAGCAAAACATAAATTAAGCATTTGAAAAAAAAAAATATGGCAGAACATATAACACATTTAGTTTCTTTTACCCAATGAAAAGGAAGTGCAAGCTTTAAACTATTCTTTAAATGTTCTTAGCAAGAGCACTTCGCACAATGCAAGTACCTATGAACAGCAAAACGTCCTTGTGTATAGGTCGGTAGTCAGTACCAATAAACCGTGGTAACGATAATACAAGCGATACTCTAGCTTAAAGGTTTCTTTTCCGATTTTATCTGCGCAGCGAAGGCGAACTCCAACACGAGCAACAAACTCCTGCAATGAGTGGTGGGCAATGCGGTCAAGATTTGAAAACTATACCCTAAAAACGTGCTGGAGGGGCAAAACATCTTTGAGTGAAGGTAGAAGATACGAAAAACAGACTATAGCAGAACGCTCAGCCCGGTATATCCCTCACTGAGAGAAAAATTTACTCTGGGCTCTCGGAATTCTCTGAAACTCCCGCCTCATAAATCTTCGAAACTCCCTCAAATGTCGGCAAGCCCAGCGTAGTGTAGAGTATTTCCAAAGAGTTTTCCGGTAGAGTTGCCGATTCGGCTGCGTCCAGGGCCCTGTTCATGAACCCCGGCGGTCGCTGCGGCCGCTGCGGTCGCTGCGGCCAGCCGGGTTGTTACGTCACAAAAAGGGGCGGGGCTCATGTAGTATGACGAATGTATGACGTCATCTTGCTGCGGCCGCTGCGATCTCTGCGGCCGCAATCCAGCGACCGCCGAGCCTCAAGAAAACTAATTGCACTGAACTTGGCGCACTGAAGTCAAATAGGCGCAGGTCGTGTTGTCATGGAGACGATTTTGTAAACAAATTATCTACCGGTGTGCTTCAGTTGTAAACAATTGTCGGAAACTATTTCGGCAGCAGACGCTGTTCATGGAACGCTGCTGCGGCCGAGTGAGTGATGACGTTTCAAAAATGGGCGGAGCTTAGAGCCTGCGGCCGGCCGCAGCGGCCGCAGACTTCATGAACAGGGCCCAGGGAGTGTATCCGTAGAGTTCACCGCTCGTGTAACGCGCGGAGTGCACTGAAGAAATTATTGCTTTATTCCTCTCACCCTTCCCCTGTGACTTGATTCTCCGCTGTGCGCCGCAGGTTTGGGTGCTGCACGGACTCGGACGAGGCAGCCGAGGGGCCATTCGACAGGGGTTGTCCGGACAAGGTGCAGCCCACGGAGGAGCCGCCGACCGACGACGACTCGAAGATGGACGAGGAGGCTCCGATGAACTGCACTGATACAGAGTGAGTGAGGCTCCTGTCAGTTTCCAGATGGAAGGGGGCACCGTCCGAGAGGAACTCAGCGCTTGGTTCGCTGACGAACAGTTTTAATCCGTGTTTGGCTCGCCGTGATCCCGTTTCTGACTGCCTGTGCTGCCATGTTTGACTGTGCTGTCGCATCATGTTCCCGCGCTGTCCTTTGAGTTCTAGTGCTGCCAGTCCAAAGCTCATTTACTGTTTTGTCTGAGCGCCCCCCGCCCGACTTCGCCCCAGGTTCGGCTGCTGCGCCGACGGCGTGACGGCGGCCACGGGTCCCGATCAGGAGGGCTGCCCGGCCGCCTGTCTCAGCTCAGAGTTCGGCTGCTGCGACAACGGCTATTTCCCTGCCCACGGTCCGAACGGCGAGGGCTGCTGCCTCAACACGCTGTTCGGCTGCTGTCCGGATAACATCTCACCGGCTCGCGGACCCGGCCTCGAAGGTGAGCTGGTCAGAGGGCGAACAAGTAGGGCAAGTGGGCGAGATGGCTTACTGCTCGAGTAGTCAGGTGGCTTGTAGTCGAGGCTTCTTGGTGAAAGGGCATTGGAGGAAAAGGGCTAATAAAGTGAGCAGATGGGAATCCAGACTTGAAATATGAGTCAGCGAGGTGAACATCGTTTGTTGACGACGCGTATTGGATTCTGCCTTCTGGTGCTTGGTAGTATTGTAACGGCTATATGTGGCATTACCACTCCACCTGACCGTGTACCTGTCGCAGGCTGCGGGTGCGAGTACTCTGCGTTCGGCTGCTGTCCCGATAACCGGACTCTGGCCCGCGGTCCGGAGCTGGAGGGCTGCGGCTGTCAGTACACCGAGCACGGCTGCTGTCCCGACCAGTACACGCCGGCCGCCGGGCCCGACCAGTTCGGCTGCGGCTGCCACACGTTCCCCTACGGCTGCTGCCCCGACGGCGAGACGGTGGCGCAGGGACCCAACCAGGAGGGTAAGAGAGATGGCCGGGACCACCAGAGGTAACAGGGACCCGAGCAGGAGGGTAAGAGAGACAGCAGGAATACAGCTGGGCGGGCAAGAAAGTCACAGCAAGGACCCACTCAGTAGGTTAAGCGAACACGCTGCTTGTCTCGTTGGAATGTGCTAAAAAGAAAACACCATTGGTGGGAAGCCGATGCCGTTTCCGACCTCTCTGCACCCGTGTTTCGTCGACCTGTACTAACCCTGTGCTGTGACAGAGTGCGGCTGCGACTACGCCGAGTTTGGCTGCTGCCCGGACCGTCGCACACCGGCCGCTGGTCCCAATTACCAGGGCTGCGGCTGTGAGACCTACCCGTACGGCTGCTGCCCCGATGGTGTCACTGAGGCGGCCGGCGCCGACTTCGAGGGATGCGACGACAAGCCGCTTAAGCCGGCAGGTGAGACGGTGGTGCATGGCGGGCTATATGACCTGCTGCCCATTATTGGTTCGAATGATATTTTTGTTAGCTACGTCGTCGTCTTTTAGCATTTGATTTCAGGAGAATTAGTTTCAGCACAAGCACACATCTAATTATGCCCGGTGCAGCTCGTCTTAATTATTCGAAACTGTGGCATTGCCAGGCCCAATCTGGTAGCTGGGGACAGTGCGGAGTGCCAAATGCTCGATATAATGTGATGTAACCTAAACTGACCTGACCTGACCGTGCAGAGATCTGCGGCATGCCCAAGGAGCGCGGCTCGTGCCGCAACTTCACCGTGCGCTGGTTCTTCGATATGGAGTACGGCGGCTGCTCACGCTTCTGGTACGGCGGCTGCGACGGTAACGACAACAGCTTCGAGACCCAGGAGAGCTGCAAGGCGCTCTGCGTCGAGCCAGAGGGCATGGGTGAGTACTGAGTGTAGCGGCGGGGTTAGGAGGAAGGAGAGCCAGACGGGTCGCTGATGGACGGGTTAGGCTAGCTGTGGGTTCCAGCACTGTTTGTGAAGTCCCACTAACCATTTGTTTCTCAGTTATATGACGTTCAATGTATGGATTGTCTATTCCTACAAGTTCCACTGGTCTGAACAAAAATCTTTCGTGTGAATGTGCTTGTACACCGGCACACTGATTTTAAGGTGTGTTTGTCATTTGAAGAAATTATAACTTGGCCAACGGCTGTGTGTTTTCGCAACAGAGGCCTGCCAGCTGCCGGTGGTGAAGGGAGCCTGTGACGGCTACTACCCGTCTTGGTACTACAACCGCGAGCGCAGCCGCTGTGAGCCGTTCGTCTATGGCGGCTGCCTCGGCAACGGCAACCGCTTCGCCACGGTGGAGGAGTGTCAGGAGACCTGCGTCATCCCAGAAACATTGGGCAAGTGTCAGCAAACCTGTGTCATCCCAGGCACACTGGATAAGTGTCCTCGGACCTATATATGTCATCCCCGACACATTGGGTGAGTGTTAAGTGTTCAGACATGTGTGTCCTCTGCGACACACTGGGTGTTACCGACTACCGAGCATGTGTTATTATTCGTCTAAAAAAGACTGTTTAGTTGTCGACCGGTTAGTGTCGTGAAAGTGGCGAAGCTGCGCATTTTCTGTGCGCCGCAACAGACTCATGTAAGATATAGTCTGATGGGGTTCGGCTTCCTTTTGCTCTCCAACAGACCCCTGCGAGCAAGAGGTGATGCCTGGCCCGTGCGCCGGAAACAACCAGCGCTGGTTCTTCGACAAAGAATCCTCCACATGCAAGGAGTTCAACTACGGCGGCTGCAAGGCCAACGAGAACAATTTCCTCACCAAGGAGGAGTGCACGCACCGCTGCGCGCGGCCCGGCCGCAAAGGTACGCAGCGCAGTCGCACAATCACTTCAGGGTTGATGGTCGGGCAGTGGCCGATTTTTAACTCGGGCTGACGTTGTCAGTGTGTGCCTTTCTAATAATGTCAGTGGTGCGGGCAGCCACACGCTGACGACAGCGTGCCCAAACACACACGCAAGGCAACAAAGTGTTTGTGTGACTCAGCACTCTATACTGTTTCGGCTTTTCTACGTCAGTTTTTACTTTTGATGACGTCGCTTTGCCTCTACGCAGACTCATGTCTGCATTATTGGGTGACTGTCTTTATACGTACTAAGCGTGGTTACGTCTGTGCGCCTGTGCATTGTCTGTTCTCTCTACGTTTGTGTACTGTCTCATGTCTGCATGATACGTCTGCGCTTCCCCAGCCATCTGCTCTCTGCCTCGCGCCGAGGGCTCCTGCGGCGAGTCACTGCCGCGCTGGTACTTTGACTATCAGGAGAGCCGGTGCTCTCCGTTCTACTATACCGGCTGTGAGGGCAACCTCAACCAGTTCGAGAGTGAAGAGGAGTGTGAAGAGTCCTGTCCTTCGCACGTGTACGGTGAGTGGCACGTCTGTCTGCCGCGCGTGTACAGTGAGTGGAGAGTCCTGCCACTCACAGCTCGTGTGTACGGCAAGGAGTCTAACACGGTAACGGTGAGCTGCAGGAATACTTTCCGTGGTACGTGTTTGTAAGCGTCATATTTAGTTATATGACAGTGTATTGAACAGCTATAACAGTCACAGATAAACGAGCTCGAGTTTTCCAGGTGAAATGGCGTTCTGTGCGTAACAGTACTGTCTGTGTGTTGCAGCGGCCGAGGCCTGCACGGACCCCCAGGACCCTGGCCCGTGCGCCAACTACACGATCCGCTACTCATACGACCTGCAGGAGGGGCGCTGCCGGCCCTTCTACTATGGCGGCTGCGATGGCAATCGCAACAACTTCCGCTCCGACGCAGAGTGTCGCGAAAAGTGCGAATCCCGCAAAGTTGAGACGGAGCCGACGCAGTTCGAGATTGGTAAGTATGTACTCGCCGTAAGTACCGGCGAGCTGAAACAGGACGTGGGTGTTAGATAGGTGCATGTCGTTAATTGTGTGCCGTGATCTTGGTATCCGTGCGGCATTTTTCTGAATTACTTCGTGACCTTTGGCTCACTGCGTTAAATGATGCTCTTTCGAGTAAGCCGCTACCTCACCTGGTAGGGTGCGCCGCGTTTCATTACTTGGTGAAGCTGGATGCAGATGGTGTGCCGTACCGCGCCTTGTGACGTCGTATAACGCCGGACAACGACGTTCTGTGGCACTTGATGACGTTCTATAGGTTTGTTTGACACTTTATGACGCCATGTGACCCTAAGATTGCTGCAGAGTCGTTGTGACACTCTGTGACGTTTCCCGTTTCTGTATGTTTCCCGCAGAGTCGTGTTTCCTGCCCGGCGACGCGGGCACATCGTGCAGTGACGCCGCCGCTCTCTGGTACTACGACTCGCGGATCGGCGTCTGCACTCAGTTCATGTACGGCGGCTGTGGAGGCAACCCGAACCGGTTCAGGACGCGAGACGAGTGTCGGCAGCGCTGTGGCGCGGCGCAGGGTGAGCTTCCCTTCCCCTAAATCGCCACGAACAATGTTATATCACTGCACAAATTGAGACTTCAACCAAGGGATGATTCGCAACCTATCCTGTGGTCGGTACTAGGTATATCTTATCTCGAACTTGCTGGTTATTCTTAAGAGTTTTCCAAACCACTGACTTCAGTGTTCTCCATTTCTTCCCGACAGATGTGTGCTCCCCGCCGCGTGTGGTCGGACCATGTTCCGGTGTTACGCTGTTGTTACGCCGTTGTTACACTGTTCTCACGGCAGTGCTCTCCGTTATCTGTCCACAGACGTGTGCTCCCTGCCGCGAGTGGTCGGCCCGTGCTCCGGCTCTCTACGCCAGTACTACTTCGACATCCAGATGGGCCGCTGTCTCGAGTTCGACTACGGAGGCTGCCAGGGCAACGACAACAAGTTCAACAGCTTGAGGGAGTGTGCGGAGCGGTGCGGCGGCCCGGCAGAGGAGGCTCCGCGCCAGCCGGAGTGGCGCCCGGAGCCGGAACCTGAGCGTGAGCCGGAGCCGGAGCCGGAGCCTGAGCGGGAGCCGGAGCCGGAGCCGGAGTGGGAGAAGGACGAGAGGCCGACAGAGGAACGGATGCCCGATGAGACGCCTCGTCCAGAGGAAGGTGGGTTCGCGGTGACGAGGGGCGAGCATGGGGGCTGCTGGACGACTCAGTAACATTATTAGTAGCGTAGTGCTTACTAACAGCAGCTGGTATTCATTCAGTAGGTGCTCAGGAGGGGTGCTCATTGTCAATGCGCGATGTAGTGGGCTAGATGGGAAAGCTTGGGTTGCATCAAATGCGTTATCAACTAGCGCACCAGTTCCATGCAGATTGTAAGGGCCTTCGTTCGTTCTCCAAGACAGTAGCTTTCGATCGTAGTTGTAACTAGTTTGCACGCAACTAAGGGTAATGATGGTCTGGCCATTATGCCATTGGGAACTGCATCTAATTGCACTATAGGGTAGTGTAGTAAGTAGTTTCAGTAGTATCCAGGCGTAAGCCACCTGTAGTTCGTTGACAGTGCACGGTAGTCTGTGGGTGCTCCGGTTGTACCCCGGACGGTCTTATCCCGGCCGAGTGTGGGGCAGTACTCGGCTAACACAGACCGGCATGGACAGGTCTGCCGGAGGTCTGCAGCCAGCCGTACAACCCCGGCCCGTGCCGCGTGCCCAGCGTGGTGTGGTTCTACAGTGCCGACCTGGGAATCTGTCGCCAGTTTACCTACGGCGGATGCCGCGGCAATGATAACAAGTTTGTCAGCCAGGAACAGTGCAAACGGACCTGTGGAGAGTTCCGCAGCCAGGGTAGGTCTGGTAAAGTTACCAGGATAAATGTGGTACAGCTACCAGGGCTGGCGTGGTACCGATGGACGGGCGCCGATTCCTGGTGGCTGTCTTTGCTTGAATGATCGTTACCTGTTTTTACTCAGTCGACCGTTTGAATTGTCTGTCTAGTACCTGGGACTGCTATGGTATACGTATGTGAAAATCACGATATGTGAACTCAAACTTTAGACAGTTCACCGTGCGAGCCTTTTGTCTCACACATCTCGCCTCTGCCACAGACGCGTGCGGCGTGCCTCCCTCGGGCGGCGACTGCGGCGGCAGTGAGACCAAGTGGTACTTTGACTACCGGGACTCCACCTGTAGGCCGTTCGAGTACACGGGATGCGGCGGTAATGCCAACAGGTGAGGACTCTGTGTGATGCTGCCATAGTGGGAGTCGATAACGGAGCCTCGAGCTGTGTAGAACACTACCCATCCTATTGAGGCTAGGAACTGCCATCGCTGAGAGCCCACGCATGAGTCTGAAGTCTCTCGGCTACATCCTTGATCGTGGGGTGGTTTGCGTTGGGTAGCACCGGCTGAAGTCTGCTTGGAGTCGGTGCGTGGAAATACCATCCTTTTCTGCGTTTTACGAGTCAACATTAGAAGTTCGTGCCTCATTTTTTATTCGGAATATTAGAACGAGACTTATGACTGGCGAACGTCTGTCTCTCACCTGTAGGTTCGCCACGGAGGACGAGTGTCAGACGCTCTGCGTGCAGGGCACCGAGCCGGCAGTGCCCGATCTAGAAGAGGAGAAAAACGCAGGTAAGACGATCTTCTACGCCGGCCCGTGCATCTGTTTTGTGTGTTTGTTAGTGCGACTTTTATGCCTGCTTACGTCTCCATATGCAATATATATTTCGTGTTTCCCTCCTTCCACGACCCATGTCTTCCTATGTCACCCTCTGCATTCTGTAGCTCCCCCTCTCCCAGAGTCGCCCTCTACACCACATCTTGTTATGCCCGCAGGCGAAGAAGTCGACACAGAACCACCGGTACCAGAGGTCACCCAGACCCCGCAGCCGCGGCGACGTCCCACCACCACGACAGCACGTTCGACGCCAGCGGCAGACGTCGACTGCTCCGAGTTCACTGCACAGTGTGACACAATGCGGGTCAGTGGTAGTTTCGTCGGCACAGAGGCTGATAAAGGACCGGTCGGCTGTCGGATGCGCTATACAAGGCACCGGCAGGAGAAACTGAGAATGATCGGATTTCACACATGACTGACAATAGGATGATAGTGTATTTTTAGATATTTAAATCCGGTTTCAAGGCCGTTCCGGGATTTAAATGCAAGCTTTCTACGGCTGCAAGCTAGCTTTACGGTGTTCAAGATTTCTTTAATTGCATTACGGATCAGATTTACATATGTAACTCATTGATGATTGTATCGGTGTATTTATAACAATGTTTTTCTGATGTTTCTGTATTTTACCCGCAGTGTCCGTTCGGCCTGGAACGTCGCGTCGATGACAACGGCTGCGAGCGCTGCTACTGCTACAACCCGTGCACGGACGTGAGCTGCGGCGGCGAGCAGCGCTGCGCCATCTCGTACGGACGGGACGAGGAGGGCGGTCTGATCGTCAGCGCCGTCTGCCGCTTCAGTGAGTGACGGGCGGGCCAGGGTTTGAACAGACACAGGACGAGCGGATCGATAGTGAAAAGAGCACGGATAGCGGTGAAGGAACAACGTTAGTGCGGGACTGCAAGGGAGCGGGATTGAAGACTGATGTGGACCAATTAAATCACGAGAAACACGTTTGGGATCATGACGAGGGCGATAGAAACTGGAAAATGATCACATGTTTATTGTGTTTCCCTCAGGCAACAAGAGCGGCGAGTGCTCAGCGCCCATTGTGGAAGGGGAGTGCCCAGGCGATACCAGGGACGGCTGCCGCGACGATGCTGACTGCCGAAACAACCTCAAGGTGAGAACGAAGCGCTTAATATTTTTCTTTTTGCAACGGTGTCGGGGTAGGTATCGCTCCTCCTTCCCGCCGCTGCAGCAAACACGGTATAGACCTTCGTTGTTGCGCCGCAGATTCAGTCGTTACCAGATGCCACCGAACAATAGTCATCGGGAGCTCGCTGCCGATAGCGCTGTCTTTTCTCGACTGAGCGTTTTGCCGTGAGAGGTCCTGTGTGCTCTGACGCTGTCTGTGCTTTGGCCACAGTGCTGTAACGACGGCTGCACTATGCGCTGTCTGCCTCCGGACGGTGAGGAGGAAAGGCTTGTTCAGGAGACGAAGGTGACGCCGTTGACCACCACGCCGGCGCCGGTTACCGAACAGGAGGTGAGTTCGGCACCCATCACCAATCACCACTGTCTGGTGCCGTAACAAGGCGAGCACCACCACACCACCGTCCACCTGCTGATGTTAACCTGCACATGTAACCAAATTAGATAAGCTGTCAGATGGCCGGTCACTGGTGGTGTCATCTGACTGTCCATCCATGACTGACATGTTCTCTCGGTGACTGATCTGATGCTTGTTCACCCGTTTCCCAGCGTTCGCCAGATGGCTGATGATCCTGCTGCTCGTGGGATAAGTGACCCGTCCCCTGCAGTGACAGTGGCTGACCAGATGATTGACCCTGTCCCTCGGTGTTCCCCAGATGACTGACTTGTTCACGGAAGCCACCGTTCTGTCGACGGAGCGCCAGTATGAGGCCGAGTCGACGGCGCCGACCAGCCGACCGGACCCGTACACTACTCCGTCTGACCGGTGGCCCGTGTACCCTCCGAGCCCACGACCGCCTACACCAGCTCGGTCAGGTCAGTGCCGCACACCCCGGCTCGATCAGGTCCACAAATGCCGCCCAGCTGATCAGGTCAGTCCGCGACTTCACACCCCGGCACGATCAGGGCAGCGTGGACCTCCCAGCCCAGCCAGACACTTCGGACAATATGCTTAATCATTTAACAAGTATCAACACCAAAATACCACCAAACCACAAAATACCAATAACACAAAATACTTGTCTGGTATACGTTGCTTACAGTATGAAGGTAACTATTTGAGTTATGTGAGTTCAGTGACTGGTCATCTGACCGTAGATACTCCTGCTCGAACAGTGCATGTAGTATCTGACTAATGTGCTTGCTCTGCTTTACCAACCACAGAGGTACCGGCCCGTATTATTGAGCACGAACCAGAGGCGGAGGCCAACGAGGGAGAGCTGGCCGTGCTGAAATGTGCCGCCGAGGGTGACCCGCAGCCGCAGGTGGTCTGGACTTACGACAACCGACAGGTGGGTTCTCTCCGTATTTATTGAAGTAACCAACCGCCTTCAACGAAAGTGTTTAGAAAGGTGTACAAATGCTGAGGCCTAGGATGACAGGTGGAAACAGCAACGCCATGTAGGACTTCCTTGTTTAGTGAGGAAATTAAATAAAACTACAGATATATCCGCAACCTGTGACTCTCGGCTCAATGACCTCAATGAGCTGAATGACCCGTCCAATGAGTACTGACTCGTGACCGATGACCTGTGACTGGTCTCCAGGTTGACACGAGCCGCGGCCGGTACCGTCTGGAGCGGAACGGTACGCTGGTCATTGTCGGCGTCCGTCGGGACGACGGCGGAGAGTACCGGTGTAGGGCCGACAACCGGCTGGCGGCGCCCGACACTCGTACCGTCACCCTGACCGTACTCGGTGAGACAGTCCTCTGCTCGGCTCTTCGGTGCTTTCATACGACTCTTAACGAGATGTGCATTGTGCATATTGCATTCCACTTCTTGTAACTATCTGCATGCAAGCCTGTTGGTAGTAGAATAACACATGTTCCGTTTTTCGATGCTTCGATGCTTTCGATGCTTTGGGGTTTCAGTTTGTGCACTTTGCCTGTAATGTATGTAAATAGTACACAGTCACTAATCAACTAATACTCTCAACAACTAACAATGTCAACTGCATCCCTGTATTATACTAACATGGAGTAGCGGTAGCCCATGCTATCTATGGGTACCACCGGTGCCCTGTGACATAGTCTCACTAACCCCTCCCGTCGTCCGGCGGCGCCAGGCCCGGTGCCCCGTCAGGCGGCCCGTGTCCTAGTCTGACTAACCCCTACCGTCGTCCGGCGGCGCCAGGCCCGGTGCCCCGTCAGGCGGCCGTGCTCCGTCCCTCCGCCGACGAACAGCCGGTGGTGGAGCTCGGCGGTCCGGCGGTGATCCGCTGCTACGCCTACGGCTGGCCGCGGCCGTCCGTCACCTGGTGGCGCGACCAGCGCATGCTGCCACTCTCTTCGGAGAGAGTAGAGCAGAGCTCGGACCAGACGCTGGTGCTGCGGCTGGTGCGACTCCAGGACCTGGGGACGTATACCTGCCAGGCGTACAACGGCCAGGGCCGCGCCGTCTCGTGGAGCACCCAGCTGCGCGCCTACGGACCCGTCTTCTCTAGCGAGAGCGAGGAGGACCGGCCGTTCCTGCAGTTCCTGGTCACACGCCCGCAGCAGCCGACGGCCTCGACGCGCGCGCCGCCGCCGCCGCAGCCCACCACCTTCCCGGCGCGTCGGCCCGGCGAGCAGCCCTACTACCCCGACTACGTGACCCGGCCGACCCGGCCTCCGACCCCGAGCGTCACCAGTCCCACCGTGCAGAGGGGTGAGTCCGGGGGCAGTTAGCAGCCCCTCACTGTGCAGAGGGGTGAGTCCGGGGGCAGTTAGCAGCCCCTCGCTGTGTAGAGGGGTCATTCAGGGGGCAGATAAATCCCCTGTGCTGAGGGGTGTGTCAGGGGATGATAAATTTAAAATACATCCCCTGTGCAGAGGGGTTGGTTCACGGGTTAGTTATCGTGTACTAAGGTAATTTCATCGAAGACAAACATCCTGGTTGTAAGTTTGACTCTGATAGTAGGTTAACCGCATGGTCTTCGAAACTAACTTACTAACCAACTAGCATGTTCACTAACGTGTATGTTACCAATGACCCAATAACTCTTCCGACTTGGTGGGTCGCTGCTCAAAGCATCCCCGTAAAAAAACTTTTTCCACGACTCTATCAGAGAGCATCGGCAAAAGCCAATCTAACAGACGTCTGTCTGTCTGTCTCGATGGTACGGTGTCCCTTGCCTGTCTGGTCCCGTCTGGCGATGAGTCTTTCTGATGACGCTGATGACGCCTTCTGTGACCCCAGTGGCGGTGCGGGCCTCCATCAACATGACGGAGACCATGTTCACCCCGGGTGTGGACATTCGGATCCCGTGTGAGACGTCGGGGTACCCGACTCCGCGGGTCACCTGGTACAAGGACAGCGTGCCGCTGCAGCCCGACGAAAGACGACGGCTCCAAGGTAAGAACCGGAGCGGGGCAGTGAGAGTGCGGGGGAATATAGGGGTCTTTGGTGGCAGGTAGTGTGAGACCGGGCTAAATTACAGGGTTAAGATCTCACCGGGTCACGGGATGTAGAGTCAGACAAGGATTGAAAATGTGGAGGGTAAGATGAGGTCAGAGAACTGTGAATGTAAACATCATATGATGGAGGTCACAAGAAAAGAATAATGAAGAGGTCTGAAGAATGAAGGGTGACATGTTTGTTACGGACGTCGGGCCACAACCGTCAATATCCTCCGGGACCGTGTCTGACGGCTCTGACTGCCCCCGCAGGTGACGAGCTGCTAGTGCTGCGCGCCGAGCCGGCCGATTCCGGATCATACCGGTGTGAGGTGGAGAACGTGTTCAGCGCCGCCGAGAGCACAGTCACCATCACCGTCCAGGGTAAGTGATCGTTGGCGTTGCTCTTTACTGCATGGTGAAGTCGAACGGCCGTATAATCGAAAACGTGATTTTAATTTCCACTGACATAGATAACATGAATCGTTTTATCTAGGTTAATGAAAATTAATATGTACATATTCAATTGCACGATCTTTCGAATGTTATTAAGATTCCCGAGATGGGGAGGACGGATCTCAAGCCCCCACAACAGTAATCCAAATCGTAAATCTCCGGCTCTCGGCTTCCAGCGGAAAAGTATCGAGCTCGCTCACTAGATGGCAGCAGTAGTGAGCGCCTGAAGTTATGCTGTCCCGCAATACACGTGCGGGAAAATAACGCCATCCGTGAAGTCAACGCTTGTGGTGGACCACTGGATTATCGTCTCATTGGATAGACAATATCGATGTAGCATTTCTTCTACGGAATTATCATATATTGCGACTTTTCTGCGCATGACTCGAGCCGCGACACCGCTGACGAAGTTGATGACCCGTTTGCCGTCCGCAGGAGTTTACATCCACCCCAACTGCACGGACAACCCGTTCTTCGCCAACTGCGAGCTGATCGTGAACGCCCGCTACTGCGCCAACCAGTACTACGCCCGTTTCTGCTGTCGGTCATGCACGCTGGCGGGCCAGCTGTCTCCCACCGGCCGCCATCTCCAAGGCTATACGCCGGCCGACGGCCGCCTCAGGCGCTGACCGACACCTGGCGGTCGCGGCGTCAACTAGAGATTACATCACCGGCCGCCAGGGGCGCCCGCCTGCAGTCGGGCCGAGCGGCGTGTGGTGAGCTGTGTGCTGGGAACTGGGGGGCGGCGGGCCTGCTGGCCGCTCCTCGCTGTGCGGGCCGCCCGCTGAGCCCGCTCCACTGCCAGAGTGCTGAGTTGTTGACTGTGTGAAGTGCTTCCCTCTGCTTGTGGCCGGGCGCGCTGGCCGAGGGGCGGCGCCCGCCGGCCGCCCTGCCAGCAGTCAGCTGACGGGAAACGGGGCGCGGATTTTATGGAGGTCACCTGACCGATCCTGTGGTTTTAGATGGGTCAGCTGGGTAGGACACGTGACCCGGTCTCGGTCAGGTCAGTTCGAGGCGTTCGTGTTCTTATTACTGCCACATCGGTATTACAAAGTGCCAAACAATTTTTACACTGTTATGCTTTAGAAGAGGCTTCTCGCCGTAGTTGAGCGTATGTGTGCGTCAGTTTGACTGTTGACTGCTCGAACCGAGCTGCGGTGCGGCGTTTGTTGACGGCTGGGCGATACTGTGCCTGTCGGTAAGACGCACTAACTCACTGTAATGTAGCGTGCCTTCTGTACATGAGGCGCCTCGGGTGGGGCCGACCTCGGGCGGGCGGGGAGGGGGCCGCCGACTAGAGCGCCCTGTCCGTCGTTCGCCGATCTGTACATATAATACACCGTCAAAGAGCGCCGACCAGCCGTGTGTGTGCCTGGCGAACGCGGGAGAGCGACACTCAAAACATAGTTTAAAGTCGAGAGGTGAGACTGATATTCATAACTTTTAAAGCACTGAAAGCTGTAAATAAGCTAGCACTCGAAGACATAGAACAAATATACCACAAGCTTCGCTTAACTCTTGAAATGAGGAGACCGTTTAGTGCGTCATGATGGCTGATTGAGGGCTCGTTGGATTGTTCAGACTTCAGATCCTAGGATGATCACTCATCCCTTCACTTGCTTTGCCTGAAACTATTTCGATCAAACCATTATCATGGCTCAATCAAAAGCGATTTCAAAAGACATGGGAAACGTGTGCTTCAAATATATTCATGCGTGCGATGGATGCATTTCCAATTAGCGCTATGTGGAGATGTGCGCTCGTGGCGAGCAAGGCATGCAACAAATGATGATCACTGGCCAACCGGCCGAACAGGCTCGGCCAGCACATATCAACACACGCGCTCACACATTCTCACAGGGAGGGTCGGCCCCCCCGCGACTGATCGCAGTAGGTACTCGTTTGGGGCACCTGCCCGGCGGGTTGAGGGGCGTCACCCGGTGTTTAGTTCTCGTACTGAGTGCCCGAGCCAGAGCGTTGAGGACGGTCGGCTGCGCTGCGGGCGGTGGATTGCCAACTCGGCGATCCTGAGTGCACCGCCGGCGCCGTGCGATACATGCGACAAAATACAAAGAGACACTGCAGTGTTACTCGTCCAGGTGCTGGCTCATTTTCTTATTGAAGACGCCCATCATTTTGGTGAAGGCGTCTGCCGCTGCCGGCGGGTAGACGTCTTCCGGCAGCGTATCCGACAGGTAACTCAGTAGAACGTCAGTAAATTTCTGCAAATTACAAATGATGAGGTTAGGAAACATATACTTAAGAAAAGCATCATAAAAGCTTATAATACAAGCATGGTTGATTTTTTGAATTAACTACGAGGGAAAGTTGGAGTGAAAAGCGTCAAACCATGACTGAAAAACAAGAGAGAAATGGGGAAAAATGAAGGATATATTCAAAATGTGCTTTTGGGTTCGAATCAGTGCGATTTATTGCCTTCCAGAAAAAAGTTATATGCACTTGCTAGTTCGAAGACGTATGTAAATAGCTACATAGGCATGGGTTCACCCAAAGGTTTAACACACCTGAAAGTCCGCATTGGTGACCTTCCTGCGGTTGTGGCTCTCGCCGAGCAGGTAGACGTTCTCGTCCACCATCTCCATGTCGTCAATGATCTCGATGATGGAGGAGAGCGAGGTGACGACCCTGCCGGCGTGCGCGCGCAGCCGCGCCGAACGGCGCATCGTCTCCGGGTCCGGGCAGCTGCTGCTCAGCCGAGCAAACTTCGATTTGGTCTCCGGATACCGGTCGAACAGTCTGAGACGGGGGGGGGGGGGGTAGAGGGGTGGAGGGTCACTGGATGGGAAACTGGACAATTTAGTCACCTCAACCTGACTGGTCATTGCCGGGTCACCAGCGGGTAATTTCTGGGTCACCGCCCGGCGCCCGAGTCACAGCCGGACAGTATATGACGATCGCTGTCGGGTCACTGTTGGGTCAACACCAGGTCACCATCAGGTCGTCTGTAGGGTCAACACAACACCGGGTCACCTGTCGGGTGGCACTGTCGGGTCACATCCTCTCCACTTCCGACTAACCAACCACTGTGTCCGATCCCTGTCGGGTCACTGTCGGACAATCGGGTCAACACTGGGTCACTGTCGGGTCAACGCCAGACCGCTGTGGACCACTGTCGGCTCAACACCGTGTCCCTGTCGGGTCATCACCACTCCAGGTTACTGTTGAATCAATAACGGCTCAACACTGGCACTTGGGTCACTGTCGGGTCAACGCCGGGTGGCTGTCGGGTCACTGTCGAGTCAAACAGCAGCCCTCACCGATCGTTCACGCCCATCATTGTTATGCCATTGGCAGTCACCGTGACGCCTCAGTGCCAGCGGAAATTTCATGCAGTGTACTCTATGCAATTAACAATAACCGCGTATAGAAATGAACGGTTGCAAAGACAGTAGACACCTTACTGCATTAAATCAAGCCGTACCTTCTAACGATTCGAGTCAGTTTTTTTTTTGCTGCCAACAAACTGACTATAACTTACTTTCAGCGATACTGTATCCTTTAATTCAATAAAGCTGCTTTCCCTCTGAGGACATCACGAATCTAACCGCAGAACGCGAATGTGGTGTGTAAGTTCTGCTTGACAATAATAATATGATGGCCATCACGAGCTTTGGCTTATGAGGCCCAAATGATCTCGTGGTACACGTGTCAGTAAAAGACTGACCTTGACTAATTCGAATGTACAATTAGTGTTTAGCAAGCGAAGTGAATTAAAGGATATGCGAGGGTTAGATACGTTCTGCGTTCATGCAAACGTTTATGCGCAAAGCACTCTGTGCGTTTTTGGCATACATTTTATTCGTGTTAGATACTCTGAGCTGCCTGACCTTATTCAGCCCAACTAAGCCTATTTTGTGACCGCTGACGACATTTCAACACATTTCAACTTTCATTCTGATTCCGTTGGCCTTGACGCTGACTTCAACCGGCTTTCATGTTGTATTCGCTCCATAATGCCCGGATCTAAATCCCTGCTAAATGCCGCATCATATCACTCTCTTTACAAACGTTATCCAGCCCAGCCGACCATCTAATCTCGGACAGAATTACCGTAAAACTCCGCACTAAGACTAAAGACCTTGACATGATCACTGGCTCATGCTCGCCGCTCACAGTCACATTTTTCTATCTATGGAGAGGACAGCCGTAAGTAGGTGCGTGACAGCTTGTCCTTCGCGGCTGTCTCGGCATGGATCGTCCGATATCAGATGTGGTTTTGACAGCACCGTTTATGTGCTCATACGTAATACGCATACATATCACTCATAATATTTATCGTGCTTATCGTTTGGAACAGGAAATAGTCTAGATGCAGGCGTTTCCAGATACTAGCGCAGCCGCCCGACCCATCACCCCCAGTCGAGGACTAGTGTAATAAGTTCGCGTTTTCATCTTAGCCTACCCGACATGCAGAAGTAAGTAGGGGAGAGTGGGGTAAGATGCCCAGGGTTTTACAATCTCATATATTATACGAAAATGACGATCGGAAAGCAAAAACTTGGAGTTTCAACGGAAGCCGACATCATTTTCCCCCAAAAAATAACACACTTTCGCGTCTGAAATGTGATAGCTTTTATGCTATTAAGCATTTTCCTGAAGAAGTGAAACGGGGCATCTTACCCCACAGGGTGGGAAAGACGCCCCCTGGCGTTGGGGAAGATGCCCCCCTGCACTATAAGTGACATAAATGGGCACGTGAATCGCCTGAACGAATCAGTAGTCCCTTCGAACCTGCAATAGACACTAAACGTCATCGTAAGGGCCCTCAAAAGTAGTCGTAAGGGGCTTCAGAGGTCATCGTCAGGGCCATCATAGTTCAGCGCGGCCAAACAAGCCTCCGTGGTGGCGTTCGGAGACCGCTGTGGGGCTCTTACAGGTCTCCATGATGCTTGAGGGCCCTCGAGCCCATCGTGGGGACCTCAGATGCCAGCGCGGCCCGTGGAGCCAACATGGGAGCCTTCAAAGGATGTCGTGAGGGGCCTTGGAGCCAATAATGGGGCCCACAGAGGCCGTCGTGAGGGCTCTCAGAGTCAGATGCCGCCCAAAAAGTCGCTGTGTGTGCCGAGAGACCGGCATGGGGAGCACCCGACCGTACTGGACTCTCAATAGTCCCAGATCGGCTTTTGTCTCTCATCACAAGTATGTAATAAATGATTTGACTGGTTCCTTGAAGGCCAGCCTACGGATTTAGGGGGGCGTCTTTCCCCATCAGGGCAGGGGGCATCTTACCCCAAGGTACCGAATTAACATTAAATCAGTACAATTTGTTAGCCATAAAACTATACCCTGAAGCAAACTGTTTGGGACACAGTACACGCAAAAATTAATGTATCACGACCATAGCAAGAGACATAGAAATTGTTCACCTTCTTTGATATTTACAATGTTTTGACACCAACATATTTTTCGAAAGAAGCAAATAAAAAACATGCAATCACCAGCCAGCCGTTGCCCAACTGAGCTTCGCAAATTTTTGTGCAGTTACCAAGGCAGTCTTCCACTTCACGCTAAGAACATTAATTTCCAGGTTCGATTCTTTCTTTTGCCGCTAGAGGGGGTGGGGCGTCTTTCCCACCCTGGGCATCTTACCCCACTCTCCCCTACCTATCAATTTCCAGCTCCAACGCAATAATTTCTTATCAATCCTCGCCCTACCAAGTCCTTTTCCATAACACGATCGGCCAGGGGAAACGACCCCCTGGCGATTGGCTCAAATAGCACTTAAAACACCAGATACATACATACGAGTATAAGGTAAGTGGACCCATATGATCGCTTGAACCTTTGCACAGTGATGCAAATGGGGCTCACGAGTGGCTATAAATACCAAAACGTAAAGTTAACCAAACCGAGTAAATCGCGATATGGCCAACCAAAGAAATGTTTGGGGCATCTGCAAACATATAGCCTTCATGTTTTTGTCAAAACCGGCCTCGTGTATCATTATCAGAAGTCGTGACATTTTCTATGTCGTAAAATAACTGCCAGGTACTTGCAAGTTCAAACGCCGCTAGCGTGCGTTCATTTCATACAAATTGAAAAAATATGCATGGCAATGATCCCTGAAGCGTGCTGCTTCCAATGCTGGGTCACAAAAAGCCGTATCTCTTTTGATTTGGCGGTGATCTAACCATCTGTCATCATGCTGCAATCGAAGTTTTTTACTTAAAATCATTTGCTTTCGTTTCACCTACAGCGGTTTACACAGTGTGTGCCCGTTAGTCCACTATGCCTCAGCCTTCCCCAATCATTTCTGAGCCGCACCGTGAAAGAATTAAGGCGGTAGCACAGGGCAGACCGGCGCTATTGAAGTTTTTGCCCGGCGCGGTCGGGTGTCGCGGTGGGCGGTGGGTGGGCGGTTTGCTTTCACCGCGGATTTGCAGATGTTTGACTTTACCTGCTATAAGTAGATCAAATATTGACCTTAAGTCAAAAGTCACATGCTCATTCGCGAGATCTTGCCAAGAGCAATCCGTTGATTTTTGTCCCGAGGCGCTAGGACGCTTCGTTTAGGAACAGCAGGGGTATGCACCGACGAACCCACGCTGAGGCCGCCCGCCCGCGGCGCGGACGCCCGGGTCGCCCACCGTGCCGCGGCACCCGACCGCAACGGACGAAAACTTTAGTAGCGCCGGCCAGCCCTGTGCTAGCGCCTTAATTCTTTCACAGAACGGCTCAGAAATGATTAGGGAACGATATGGTATGGTGGACTAACGGGCACACACTGTGTGAAGTGTGAACTACTGTAGGTGAAACGAAAGCAAATATTTTGTTGTAAAAACCGCGATTGCAACATGATGACAAATAGTTAGATCAACGCCAAACCAAAAGAGATTCCGGCATTAGAAGCAGCAGGCTTTGGGGATCATTGCCATTCATAATGTTTGCCATTTCTATGAAATGAACACACGCAAGCGGCGTTTGAACTTGCGAGTATCTGACAGTCATTTTACGACATAGAAAATGTCACGACTTCTGACAATCATACACGAGGCCGGTTTCGACAAAAAAATGAAAATCATATTTTTTCAGACACCCCAAATATTTGCCTAACTGGCCATATTACGATTAATTCGATTAGGTGAACTTGAAATTTGGACCTTTTCGGTGTTTATGAATTATGGCCACTCGTGAACCCCATTTGCATCACTGTGCTTTTGTGACCCTGTGGAGGGGGGGGGGGGGGAGGGATATAAATGTAAAAAACCTGTACATATGATAAGTTTGAATCCGGTGTTAACCTGACAGGTAACAGTTTTCGTGACCGACCTGATCTAAGGTCACAGGGACTTGAGATGTCCAGAAAGTGTATACCCGTAGAGATTTGACGTTGCCACGAGGATCCTTTTAGGCATTTGCGAAAGATGAAGTTATTTCATTCCGCTAAATTATTTCAGTTTTACCACGGCTGTGTCCATTTTTGTTATCTAGTACCCTAACCTAACCTTAGCTTACATGGCCTAACCTGAGCCATCACCGGGACTTGAAATTTTGAGGAAATTTGCCAAACTAATGCTCCAGAGAATGCCGACTTTGGCGGCGCAACACGCGCCATCGGCGAAAAGCCTCAGAGGCCCCTGGCCGGGCGAGACTTAATTTATCTAGAGTTGAATTCATACCTAGAAATGTGAGCATGTTTACTAAATGAATTATTAGAAAGCGGAAAAGGTTTTCAGATTCAGCATTGATAGCCGTTTTTCCTGGTTCAAGTGGTTAATGCCGATCTACTCAATTTTTATTTCTGTATGAAAATAGACAGGTTGACTGTATAAAGGCAGCAAAGACAATCGACAAAGACATAGGTTAATCGTTATAAAACGTCATTTATCGTAAATCGACGATAATCGTAAATGGTTAAATCGTTATGTATCAAGTTAAAATTAGACACATTAATTGCCCATTGTGTCTTAATTATTGGGCAATTAATGTGTCTAATTTTTATTTGATAACGATTTAACGATTAACGATTATTGATTTATGATAAATGACGATTTATAGTGGCGATTAACGGAAGGTCTTTGCTGCATTTATACATTTTTTTGCTATGTGTATTGAAGTAATTCCACATGCATCACGATTCTTTTTGCAAGGTTCGTCTAATGGTTATAATCTGACATTGATCTGGCAACGTGAATTTTTGAGCGCAGGTCCAGAAATCCTCAAAATTTAAATAAAAATATAAAAATAAAAGCGTCAAAGTGCTGGTAAAGCACTCCCACCGATAGTATCAGACAGAATAATGTGGAATTTGAATTTAAAACGTCTTCCTGAAAATTTGATCCAAGGATTGAACTGACCGGGAGATGTCACATTACAGCCCGTCGATCTATCTGTTTAATTTGATTCATTTTCGTTATGAACCCGCCATTTTAGTCTGTTATGCGCTTTCAAGAAATAGCCATTCCATGTTGGGTTTGCGTAAATTTGATAGCATTATTTCACTGGTAAATGTCGCTTTCGCTGCTAGTCTCTGTTCTGTTGTAGGTTTGACATTTTCGGTCTAACAAGACCATTTCGTGATCAATGGTCAATATTCAATGGTCATGGTTTGAAATAAGGGAGACGGATTGACGACCAGCTGGTCCGCCGCTGCGGGGCAGCTGGTCCCGTTGGACAGATCACTTAGCTGCGCTATAACGGTCAGTCCACCTTTGGGCTTTGAAGATTAGTACCATCCGATTTGAGTTGCTTCATGACCGGTTACTGATGATAATTTGCTTAGCCCAAGAGACCGGGACACACGTGGATGAAAAATAAAGGGCATGTCCAGAGGCCTGAAAAAGACGCTGTAAATATGACGTCAATAAAAGTACGAGACGAGTTACGCTGCCATTTGACCGCGTGGTTCAAAATTTTTTTTGTTGGGTTAGGCCCTTTCGGTTCATTAAATTTAAGACCATTGCTGATTGCAGAGCCGAAAGGGTGATAGAAATTAGGGAGAGACATAGGTCTGAGCAGGCACCCTAGTGAGTCGCCGGGGCTGAGCCCGTCCAGAGGACAGGCCGCCTGCAGCCCCCAAGGCACTCACTGCACCCGGGTACGGGGTGCGCTCCCTCGGGAGCAGCGGTGCCGCTCCAAGGGAGCAGCCCGCATGAGGTAAAGCTGCCTGTCCAGCCCGGACTGAGGGTTGCGGCGTGGAGGAGAAGGATTTGAATGTCCTGAGGATGGAACGACGGACGGGTGTGGATGGGCAAGCAGGAGCTGCTACAGTCGGTAGCACGCTGCTCGTATATCGTCTTCCGTTTCGTTGAGTGCCTTAAGAGCTCGCAAACACATCGAATCGGGTCAATAACTATGCATATTGCATAATGTATATTGGTATGCATTATGCAAGAGTGCCCCTATCAGTTGTTACCACCACCTACTACCCAGCGCCACCACACATCAGCAAGAACGGGCTATGAGTTACGTCTTACGACTTACGTCCGCCCTGCAACTGCAAGTTAGACCAGCCAGCGCCCCCAAACGTCAGCAAGACGAACTGTGAGTTGGGTACCACGGACCACCTCCACCTCGCAAATCAGAGCCTATCGTCAGCGCCCCCTGACACCAGCAGAACGAACTATTAGTTACGTACCGCCCCGCAGCTCAGCACTGCCAGCGCCACCTGACAGCAGTCGCGAGAAACACTACGCTGCTGAACCGGCCACCAGAATGGCATCGGGCAGTGGGCAGGTCATACTCATGTGACACCACAATACTTTATGTGTATGTTAAAGTTGAGTCGCAGAATCTTGAATTGACAGGATTTCGAGGCCAAACCAACACCAAGTAGGTTCATTGGTAGTCAAATTCTGAGTTTTGCCGGCCGATCAGATCAGGAAGCTATGGATAAACGGCATGATTTTCAGGCGAACGTCTGACGCATCAATTATAGCCAGTCCGATACACGCTGCGTTTGGCGAGCTAAACCCGAACTTCGTCTGAAACTTGCTACCTGGCTATGTGCCTTAGTGCCTATGACAGTGGTTCATCCAGCGGTTGGGCCTGCCAACACACGGATCCGGGTAGCCTTCACCACAAACGACCACCATCTCGCAGTGGGTGTACGGACACTTTCTATCCCCCCTTAGGCAGTAAAAATACAGGACGCCAACGGCTCACCTGACGAAGAGTTCCACGCCGTGGTGCAGTTTATCTGCCAACACTAGCTGCCACACCGAGCGGATGTAGTCGATCTCAGAGTTCTCCATAATAGATGCCTGCACGGAAAACGGAAACGGTCAAAGCTTACATATGAATAGTAGGCTGAATGAAATCACATGCGAAGGGTTTAGCTAATTTCCGTTGCCTACCACACATCCGAAATACGTTTGATAACCTGGCTAATGTTAACTTCAGGTTACCTACACACCTAATTGAATTTTGAGTCATTTTTGCCTTATCTTTGTGAAGCTCGGCTCTTGCCTTACACGCCGGCGCCACTCTCTGCCTGTTTTCGACCGTCTGACCCCATCCGCTCCCTTCCGTCCCATCAGGACAGCCCCCGGCTGACCCCGAGGGAAGGACCGTGACAGACCCGATTAGGACCGGGTCGGGGAGGGATTTGCTGTCTGACATCTGTTCCGACTTCAAAGTCGGAACCGCATTTCTATTTTGGGACCGTCCCGCCTGCCTGTAGGACATCGTACGGCCACTTTTGTGTCTAAATGCCATTCTCAAATCTCACGGCGGTGTAATTCGCAATTCGCATCGTAGAAAACCCATTCGGATACCCAGATCGATTTTTGTTGCAACTAGTTTCTTAGGTGTGTTGTATAATTTAAAGCAGTCACATGCAGTTATAACTTATAAGCAGTTACAGCGTGAAGAAAAATAGCGAGCCGTTTGGGGCTACGTGCATGAGTCAGGTGCTTTAGACTTTATCTGAATGCTGTCCTACCCGCGCATGACTTACGTCTTTCCGCTATCAAAACACTTAGTGCCGATGATAACTAGCTAGATCTGATAAATCCCGGCAGAAAAACATCTTATGTGTGATATGCATGCCGCCGGAACAGCCAATCGACCTTTCAAGAGTTGTTTGACAGCGCCAAACAACAGCACGATTAAACTCCAAATGCAGAGTTTTCGGTTAAAAGCTGAAGAAAGCTTGGGCGAGGCCTTCAACACGGGTCTCAACTTCTTCTAACCTGCTGACATGCTGGCGAGTGATGAGCTCACCCTTGCTGTCGTTTGTCAGCGCAGCTCGCAGCTGTAACGAGTCTCAATTGACGACATGACAGCGGTCGTCTGGTGCCTGCAGCCGCAGTCCTCCACAATGAACCCACAGTGACTGAGATAGACCGCCAGGACTCCAGACGCCTGGGACATTGCGGCCAAGACGGCATTCATTGCGCCCATTCGGGCCGGGTGACTCGGTTATATTGCATTAGTTTTGGCAGAGGCATGACTCCAGCACCGGATGGATGCTCCAACTCCTTGCTCCAACTCCAAACAGCACGCGAAAAATCAACACGGTGCGCGTGTGCGCACGGTACCGCCTATACAGATGTTTGTCTCTGTGAGCAATGCCATTTCCTACTAGATAAACGGGCAGTAGGAGAACGACAGTGAATTTTGAGGAGAGTAGGCATTGCAGGCATAAACATTCAAAGCATGACGTCAGCTCAGAGGTTCTGTGAAATCTTCTAACGGTCGTCAGTTAGGCATGTGATCGCCACAGGAATGTGTGACACGTTTTCGTCAAATACATGTTCCCCAAACATAATTAAGCCGCAATAAACGAACGGATAACCACTGTAAAGTCAATCGTTGCACCGAAGATAGTTGCGAAAGACAGGCTCCCGACGTCTCATATAGGAGGAGTCGGGTTATTTAGTTAATTTAGAAGGCAAAGTTTGACGTGTCCACACGGCGAATAGCCAGACGTGATCCATTCTGTTATGAGCTATCTGAATTCAACTGGCTGCGACTGTTTTCTCTGAGGGCAGATTATTCATCCTTGCAATCGCTTCTGTACTTGTAAATGCTGAAGCGACTTGGATAGGTACTGCTGTTCACAACTCACTCTGATCCTCTCCCAGTTAAGTCACAGAACAAACATTTCATTGCGTACAAGGATAAAAAATAAAAGCAAATAATGCGATGGTAGAATGCATAAGCATCGACGAATGATCATACATGACCGATGACAGGCTCGAAGCGGCTATAATTAAGTGTGGCCTGTTGGCGCTGCCTTCGAGCCAAAGCTGTTCCTCTTCACCCGTCTTTACAAGGACCCCATAGGCCCGTACCAACTAAATCTCTTAATGGAGTCTCCCCCCACCACTGTCATCACACCTCACAGTTGTCCCGTCCCGAGCTCACCTGTCCTTTTGTCCCGTCAGGTGTCCTCTCCTGCTGTCGTCCCGTCCTTGATCACTCCTGCTCCTGTTGTCCTACTCTTGTTCACTTCTCCTGTTGCCGTCCTGTCCCACCACTCGATGCGTTCCTGCCGCTCGCCCCGGCGCGTCCGTCGCTCACCAGCGCTCAGTTGCGTGTGCGGCCCAGCCGCCCGGCCCGGCCCGGCCCGGCCCGGCCCGGCAGCCCGGCGGGTCGGCGGGTCGGCGCCGCTGATCGAGCACATGACGTGAGACCGGAAGGGTGGGTGGAACGACCCCCTCCCCGGCTGTCCCACGAGCTGCTCCATGAGCTGCACCATTACCATGGGATGAATGGGTCCTCGTGCCCCGGCTGTCACATGCTGTGAGCTCGGAAGGAGCTGATAGACTCTCCCCCCGCCTGCTCCATGAGTAGGTATCCCATTGAGATGAATGGTGTCTCGGTTGGCACATGCAGTGGAGTCGGGAAGGTGGACAATGGATAGCCTTTCTTCCCCAGGACTGACACATACATAGAGCCGAGACCCTACGAACCACTTTACGTCATCGCTAAACTGAGACGCATACCCGGGAGCCGGATGCTTAAAGGTAGTGTGCCACCTTTGAAAGATTTCCCATTTTATTTTTCCTAGGATAAGAAGCTTCTGTTTTTACCTAATATCGCAAAAAAAATCAAAAATGGGCCTGGAATAGTGCCTTTTTCGCCTAAAAGTTTATCGGTTTTTCGATATGTATAACAACTGTAGTGGGCTCACCTGCAAACAGGCGTCGGCAACAATCGCGAATGCGGCGCACATGTGACAATAAGCAAAGGTCATTATAGTGTTACGACCATACGACGTACGGGAATGAGTTATCAGCTGTCTAATCGTAGACAACACAATGTCGAGCCTTAAACTGTAAGCCTGTATTGGTATTGTTTCTTTTATTTGGCTGTCGAACATTATTTATGGTTTGAAATATGATTTTATGTAAAATAATTGATATGAAAAAGCCGTCTCATAAGTTATGACCCCATTTCACCACACGCAAGTGGCAGAAATGACAATGATCAGCTGACGCATTTTTCTTGGCCGAAGTCAGAGCGCGCAGCCCGACGCACCACCACCGCACCACAAAGTATGAGCAGAAGCCGCGCCCAAAGCCAGGGCCCCGGTAACGTGAGGTAGCCGAGTCGGGGCAGCGTGCGCTGACCCAAGCCGGGGCCGCAGCTTTGGGCGCGGTCTACCGCATCCCCGCGGGCAGCCCCGGGCTATCACATGACACCGGGAGGACGCGCGGCTCCGGCTTGGATCAGCGCACGCTGCCCTGACTCGGCTACCTCACGTTACCGGGGCCCTGGCTTTGGGCGCGGTCTACCGCACCACCTAACAGGCGTGTTCGAAACCGCACGAGCTGATGATGAACGGGTTTATCGAAAGTTGATTGGATGAGCATATCGGTAATAGCGATTTCAGTGTGTGCATTTATTGTTCATAGTGGTGTGAAATGTGGTTGGGGTACGACCGACAACCCGTCGGGGCGAATTTCGCACTGGGGTACTCAAAATTTGAAGAATTTAAGACGTTTCCATGAGTTTTGAAGGTATGGATAAGTTCTAAAAATCCGGTTCTCCTTATCTGGGCCATTAACTCCATACGGTCCAGGAAAGCTGGCACACTACCTTTAAAAGAATTAAGTAAATGTGTTGTGAGCGCCGAATTAACTTGGCCATGAGCTTGCTGATGGTCTAGCCGTCACAACGATCCGGATGTATGCCATAACATCATAAATCATCGTGACGTACACAAGGTAAACAAATATGAAACTTTATTTAAAATGTATTATGCAATATATGCTGTGCAGACTCAGCAGCTGTTCAAAACTTCAAACTAACCTACTGAGTTCTATTCTCGTGCTTTGGTATTGATGTGAACAAGACTCGGGTCGGGGCCAAAAGTTCATATAAAACAAAATATACCTGTACTATTGTAGTTATAACTTAGGAAGGGACTCATTCACAAAAAATAATATAATCCGTTGCATGCAAAATAGATAGCCAAATCACTTCAATTCTATCGGGTACTATATTTACCTATAGCTCTCTCGTACAGGACATGGTAAAACACCATTGTATATGAAATGTGTGCTTCGGTTCTGCCTTTGTGTGTTGCTTTCGTCATTGTTTCAAACGTTTCCTCGACTGACAACTAATATTTACTCTCGAATCATGATGCAGTAGCACTTCGCCTTTGAGTGTGACTGAACCTAATGTGAGCATTTGTCGCGTTCGAGATCTAGAGTTTACTTATTGCACTTGATATCGTGCTCTATTCCACTAACCACCATAAGCACATACGGCATATTGGCTTATTTAGCATTCATCCACATTCCACCTATGTGCCTTCACGTTTAATATTAACCCTCGCCGGCCGAGGGGGGGGGGGCGGGTGCCGCCCCCCCCCCATAGGGTTTTTTCGCGATAGCTCCGAACACGCTGGCGATAGAGAGCTGAAACTTGGCATACCTGACCTTTGATCCAAGCCGGATCTTTTGACACCAACCGCATTTTTGGGTCAGGTCAGGTCACTGACCTATGACGTCATAAAAGAACCTCTGCACGGTCTTCAGATGTCGCAAGTTCGCAACGCCCTCACTGCCAGAGGAGATGTCACAGGGAAATGAAACTTGCAGGATCTAGTATCCATTATGAGTCCCACAACTTGTATATCTCGGATTTTTCCTAAAGGTCATATGAGGTCAGGTCATTTTCGTGACCTCACCATTATAAGTCAATGGGGAAAAATTCAAACTGCTATTCTGGCGCCGGGAACGATCTCCAACTATCTCAAGCACACAGAATCGTGATTTGATGCACTCCTTGCAAGGTTAGATGCGTCACTTTTGCAATGTTGACCTTGCGTGACGTCATTTATGACGTCATCAAGGTCAAATTAGTTTTTCGTCAATAACTCTTGATCAAATTGAGCTAGCGAGTCGGGAAAGGCACCAATGGACTCAGGAAGGCCTGCCGAATCGCATGATATGCGACATGACCTCTTTCGACCAACTTCGTGACCTGGGGGTGCTGACCTGACCTTGACCTGAGGTCAACACCCCAAGTTGACCTGACCCGGACAAAAAGTATATCATTCGACGCGCCTGAGCGAGGCGAACACGATGCTGCCAAAATCGGCGCTCTGCGGCCGTTTTTTGCGAAGTTATTCACCAAAAACCGAACCGTACCCTGGGGCACTTGACCTGACCTCAGAGGTCACCGGTTGACCTAGGACCATAAAATCGGGTACCAATCTCTGCGTCTCGTAACGGCGCACACGCTCGTTTTTTCCGCGACGCGCTAGCTCCACCAGGGGCGAAACGGCGAGGGGGGGGGGTCGTACCCGCCCCCCCCCCTCGGCCGGCGCGTATGTAGAAAACCAATAGGTCCGGCGAGGGTTAAATTAGAATGTTAAAGTTATAGGTACAATATTGAATATGCACCTTCATATAACATTCTTATGCTTATTTATATGTCGAAACTTACAAAATGCATTGGATTTGAACAATTCTATCAGCACAGCCCGACTACGGCGGCGTTTGCTGACACCGACGCTCGATCTAGTTGTTAGCTGATGGATCAGCGTTATTGACTGTCCTCACCCGTTCACCGCAGTCACTGTGTGATCAGCGGCGGGGGTGCACGTCACCCGTGACGCTGCACTATTGCGTTCAGCTTACATCACCGTCGTGCCGTGACGCCGGGGGTGTGGCGGTCGGCGCATCCATGCGGCTGATGCAACTGGCGTAGCCAGCGCCGCCACTCCACCGACCGAGGGTACCGGCGGGGGCGTCGCTCTATCCGCCCCGTCCACGGTCCAAGGTCCATCTCAGATCAGTCACGTGCTGGCCGACACCCTCTCAACAAACGGCACGCCCCCAGACATGTTACAAGGCACGTGGATCGGTGCTTCCAGCTCTCTGCAGCCGGTACTGGGAGCTCACCTAGCCAACAGGTCGTGTCGATGGCGTCGAGATGGCTATTCAGCTCAGCACGACGACCGCCGCCGGCCGGCCATTGCGAGGCCCCCGCCTGGGGTCAGGGTAGAACCCCGTCGACGGTGACGACGCCGAACGTGTGACATGGTGTCGACCACAACAGGGAGATGATGGCATTGGCGGCTCATCGTCTGCTCGTCAGTAACGAATTCCAGAAATGGTGAGTGACGACTGACGTGGTATACTGCATGGGTGTTGCTGGAGCGCTGGCTATCTTATGACCTTCCTATATGTTCCTGACGTTGCATTTTGTACAATCAAGCTTAAATATCCCATTCAAACCTTATGACTTGGCACTAATCCATTTTTCAGTCGAGCCGGACATTCACTTGTCATCGGAAGCATTTGTTGCCAGGCAAGGCTCAGGCCAGGCTCGATACTTTCGTTCAATGTAAGACAGGAGAAACCGATTCTCAATACTATGAGCAATGATACCGAAAATAAATCTATTTCTAAAATATGAGCAATGAGCATGACGTGTGTTTCAAGAATTTTGTGCTCGTTGCTGTGCTAATTGAGGATCGGATTATCAACACTAAGGGCATTGAGCATGACGTGTTCGGAGAATGGTAGGTATAGGTACTTAAACTTCCGATTGGTTAACTCGAGATCAATGACGCGACACGTTCCAAATCTAACTGCGTGTTTAGGTTCGCAGCGCTCATGCGAGTGCGAACCGTCAACTCTTGGCGCGCCTGCTTTGCGCTGGTCTGACAAGAAACAGGTCACAATATGACCGCTAGAGAATGTGTTCGTGGCCTGAGTGGATGGCTGGCACTTACGTAAGTGCAGCTTGCACTTATAGGGCACACCGGTCGGCGATACTGCAACAGCCACACATGCACGGGCACACGCCGTATACATGCATACATACATGCATGCATGCATACGTCATCGTCTTCTTTTGACTATGTCCACATCAACAGGAGAGCCAGTGGTTCATTACGGGAAAGTCAGGGTTTCGTTGGAATTGCGATTCAGTAGGTGTGAAAACACACATTATTCTTTGATCGGCCTCAGAGTTCTTTTGACGGCGGGGATGCAGTCTGCGCCCCGATGCGCGTTAGGAACGGTATCGCCTATGGGTTTATTAGTGTACCTAAATGTATTTCTAAATTGAGTGTTTGTGGCGCTCTAGCTATTTTCATATCCAGGTTAGGCTGCAGAACTTTATTGAAAGGCGCGTGCTGTTTTGTATTTTGGCTCGACTTCATTTGATAATAATAAGCAAGCATCTACTATACTATTTGAGGAGGGTGCGTCTGTCCGTTACCGAGGTCCCGACTTGGTGGTGCTTTGCGTGGACTACAGGCCAGACTGTTGCACCTAGCGCGCTGAAATTTGCACAACTTATAGATCAAGGATGCGCGACGTGCCTTTGAGGGGTCTCAGCTCGATCGGATTGATAGGGAGCGCGTGGTGCGTGCTCAAAAAGTGCAAATTCGCGTCATAGACTTTACATGTATAAATCGGCGTGCGAAATCGGGCGAAAACGGCTAATTTTGGCCGACACGGGTCCAGTTCCCGTGCAATATCTTGGTGACCAGGGGTCCGACCGGCATGGGGAAAACAGCATCGTGCACAGAATTGAACGGGCTATTGAATGGTGTGCAATGCAGAGGATAGCACGCGCCATGTGCACCGGAGAGGGCACTTTTATTTGAAAAATTGCGGTTTTTGAGGGATTTTGGAATTAATTTTATTTTTAGGTGACCGTTAAATGGAGCGAGTTGAATCAACGCCTATTTGCAAGAGAAAGGTAACGCCTCTCATATAAAAATTGTGAAAAGCTGATTGATCCAAATCAAGGTGGTGCAAATCACAGGAGAAAATGGTGTTTGTCAATTTTGTGTCACTTTATTAATCACACGGGGTTTGCTGCATAACCTGATACCTTTGGCAATTGAATATGGTACCATTGGATAGAGCATTCAATTCTGTCCAATATTCACTCTTCATTTTTGCATGATTAGCAACAGTATCCTTAAAAATGTAAATGTTCCAAACCATTACAATGTCATTTTTAGCGAAATTCATCGATGGCCCTCAAAAGACTTCACGCCAGTTTTCGAATCATTCTAAAGTAGAACGCATGATAATATGACACGGGCACCTCGATGCGATGTATCTTTTTGTTTTCTTACAAAATGATTGGCCGTCAAAAAACAATCGAACGAAATGGATATCTACCAACCAAATCGACACAGACCAACCCAATACCCACGGGTCAAAAAATCCCCCCTTCGCGTTGCGGAGCACGCGGGTAACCCTTGTCTATATTACTATTTGAGGAAGGCGTAGTTTCTGTCTATTACGAAGGTCGCGACATGGTGCTACGTAGCGCGGGTTACAGGTCACACCGTTGCACCTACCGCGCTGAAATTTGCGCAAGGTATAGAACAAGGATGGACAACGTGCCTTTGAGCGGTCTCGGCTCGATCGGATCGATAGCGAGCGCGTGGCGCGTGCCCAAAAAGTGCAAATTCGCGTCATAGACTTTACATGTATAAATCGGCTGGCAAAAACGGGCGAAAATGGCTAAATTTGCCCGACACGGGTCCGTTCCCCGTGCAATATCTCGGTAGCCGTGCGCCCGATCGGCACGGGGAAAACAGCATCGTGTAGAGAATCGAACGGGCAATCGAATAGTGTGCGGTGCAGGGGTGGCACGCGCCACGTGCAAGTGTGAGGGCAATTTCATTTCAAAAAGTGCCATTTCAAACGGATTTTGGATTTTATTTTATTTTCCCGTGACCATCAGACTGAGAGAGTTGAAACAACGTCAATTGCCAAGAGAAATGTACCGCCTCTCATGGAAAAATTGTGGACAGCTAATTGATCAAAAACAATGTGGAAAAATCGCTGAATTAAAATGGTATTTGTCCATAATGTGCCACTAAAAAGATACACGGGATTTGCTGCTTAACCTGATACGCTTGATAATTGAAAATGCTATCATTAGAAAGAGCATTCAATTCTCTCCAAGATCCAATCATCACGTTTGCATGACAAGCAACAGTATTCTTAAAAATATAAATGTTTTAAACCTCTGCAAAACGATTTTTAGCGAAAATTATCTACGCCTTTCATTTGTCTTAAAACTACGCACCTCAATTAAAAAGCACATTTGACAGATTCTGAAGTGGAAAGCATGCTTATCAGACACGGGCACCTCGATGCGGTGGATATTTTTTCCACAAACCAAAACGTTTAGCCGTCAAAAAGCAATCGACCGAAATGGATAGATAACCCAACCGACACAAGAACAACCGAACACCCGCCGATCGAAAATATCCCTTTTCGCGTTGCGGAGCACGCGGGTCACCCTAGTATCATTCTATGTAAAATGTGGTAAGGGAAGACGCTACGTTCTCTCCAACCGAAAGATGTCAGGTCAGGAAACGGTAATAGTGATCCAGCAGCGTTATGGGAACCAGTCACGATGAACCCCGGACTGGAGTTGAGGGGCACCTGTATGAGGGGGACGGGTAACCGCAGCTACCACGGCGCCGTTGTCATGGTAACGGCGCGGAGGCAGGGGTCGTTTGGTCGATGGGGCCCGCCAATACTGCGGCCCCTCGGTAACAAACGCACGTGACATGGGCTCTGGTCGGTGAGGAAACTCAACGGCCCGAGTCGCTGTCCGCAGACAGTCGACTCACAGTGCTCACAACTCTTCTCACACATTGGATCAAAAAGGTGGTCGGTAATTGAACTGGTGCGTGCGGCGCGAGCGGAGCAGGGCACCGAACACATCGTGCGAAGTAGATGGCGCTGAAGCGAGGAGCCACACAGGTATGTTGCAATATTTTACACGATTCAAATGATATGATGAGCTAAAAAATTAACGATAGTAAATGAGATGATTAAAGGTTAAACGAGCTTAAACTTAAACGACGTTATGGTGAAAAGATGAGCTAAGAATTAAACGGCCATTGAAAGTTTATCCGAGCTGATGCTTTGAGTTAATTCTCTCTTACTTAGGTTAAGGCCAATACAAATTGAAACACAACACACTGGGCTGGAATGTGACAAGGCCTTTGTGTCTTACACTTCCATTACAATGTGGTGATTGTAAAATACGAGCACGCCGGGCCGTGCCGGATAAATGAACCGATTGAAACGGCAAGATTCGCTAGGTAAAAGGTTAAAACGCCTTGCGACGTTTTGCTACAACTTCAGCTGGCATGCATTTAGGAATGCCGTGGTCCGATTGTTTTGAATAGACTAGGCGGACTGTATAAAGTTAAGAGCATCATGATAAAACAGCATGTTTTCAGTTTGCACACCATGGTCTCTGCCATCCGATCGGATGTTTCAGAGGGTTGTTGAGAGAATTTAGAAGCCAAACTTAGCGTAGGTATATTAAATGTATCCATTTCCAGTACCCGCAAAGCCGGACAGGTTCCGACCCAGAACCTACTGCCAGGGCACTAACCTATACTGCCTTCGGCTGGCTGCGACTCACCGCACAAAGCATTTTCGTCAGGGGTCTCTCATGAAAGTGCCGTTTTCTTTCAGCTGGCGTTATATTACGTTTCGCCAGCACTTCTCTAGTTCGTCTCTGTGTTTTCATTTGCTTATATAACAATGCACGTGCTGCCGCTGTGCTGCAGTTTTGTTGCATTGTTGTGACAATCTGTAGTGTGGCTGTTTTTCAATTCGAGGATCAGTGGCATCCGACTTTGCGTTTTAGTTAGAGCAGTTGTGGTAACAGTGAAATCTACCGCTTCATTTCAGTTTGAACAGCAGTATGACCCGCGCCGGATCGGTAACTGGGAGCTACCCGACACTCCCGACTCGCTGCCCAAGCCGCGGCACGGCAGCACGCGCTTCATCGCCAACGATCGCGGTCACCTGCTGGAGGGTGCGGCGCGCAGCCGACAGAGCCCCTGGACGGCCTACCGACGCACGGATACCTGGGAGGGCCCGCGCCGGCCGGCCGGGCCGCACAGTCACAGTCGACCAGGTAAGTGGCCTACAGAACGTCCGAAACCTAAAGCCACAACAGATCCGGTGAAAGTCCACAGCTGCAGTCACGATCACAGCCACATCCACAGCCACAGTACATAGACCCGGTGAGAGTCCACAGTCACAGTTGACTCGGTGGGAGTCCACAGTCACAGTCGACCCGGTGAGTGTCCAATGTCCATAGACCATAGTCACAGTCACGGCCACAGCAGAACCGGTAAGAATCCACCCTAACAGCCACAGTAGGCTTGTTGAGAAGCGCCGTCAGCGTGCGACCTTGACCGGGTCAGGACGCCCCGCCGCGAGCTCCGCCGCGGGGCATGACCGAGTGAGCGGGGCGCGTCTGAGTGTCCGAGTAGTGGCCGAGAGGCGCGAGGAATGGGGTAGTGTTAGCGCGACATGGCCGGTGGACTGTGGTTCAAGTGATCGGCAGCCAGCCTGTGGTCAGTCGCAACCGATCGGAGATAATCTGCGGCTAGTGTGCACGGCTGCGTCTCCGAGTGCCGAGGGACAGCGGACCTGTACGCCTCGGACAGAGCGGTGACGACCCCGGTTTCACCGACTGCCACCTGGCCTCCGGTTCGGAGAGCGCCACTGGTGCTGGCGAGGAAGAGAAAAGGCAGTTTTCGATGCCAGAGATGGTGCGAAGAGCGGAGGCCAGAAAAACCAAGAGTCAAGCAGCCAGGAGGTCAAGGTCACCGGGCGGCCGGGGCTAAGCGACGGCCCGCCGCCGAGACGCACTGTCTGCTACGAGTATAAGGCACATGATCGACCAGAACAATAAAAATTGATGAACTCCCTAGAATCAAAACTAGAAGGGATGAGGAAAAAATCAGCATTCTAGAGGGCGAATGCATGGAGAAGGACGGGACGATTCGCCGACTGTCTGAGGAGCTGCAGCAGCAGTTCAAGGGGAACGAGGAGATGCACTCAGCGCCTAGAAGACCTGGATGTGAATGGCAGAATGTCCTCGCTCATCTTCAGCTGTGACGATTTTGTCATTCATCCGTGCAATGGGGACATTGAGCAAGCGGTCGTGAACACGCTGAATGACCGAATAATCGGCTTGAACCTAACAACATACGCTATTCATGCCTCGCACTAATTGCAAAATGACAACAAGATCATCTGTTAATTTGTCAAAAGACAGATTCGAGGGACAATGTTTACGATGCCCGTTTCGACCTTGCCCGCTTCCACAGAGGCAACGCTGGGTGTGACCAGCGCCGGTTAACGTCTCTGTTCATTTCGGAGTCGTTAACGATGATGAACCGTCTGTTTTATGAGAAGTTTCTTCGCGCAAGGTGTCCGGAGAATGGAGGGCTGATCACCTCGGTATTGAGCGCGGCCCGATATGGTGCCACACCGAGAAGGGAGGGGCGAACCGCAGAGTAGGTAGAATCGATAATGGCGAGAAAACACAATAGGTTCGATCATGCCAAATGGAGCAAAATACTTGAGAGTGGCAGAATCTTCGTATGAGGCGGGTCGACGTGAGGACTGTCGGTGCGTCGGTGGGTCTGCGCGTATCGTTTTCCTGTCTCACAGATATCTGGTGATTTGCACAGATGTTTTCGCTGACAAAGTGCCGGAGACCGGCCCCGCTCGGTGTGCGGGCCTTGTTCGGTGCTGTGGGGAGGCGATGGGGGGGGGGGGGGGTCGGCTCTGCGGTGGCTGCCTCTCGACTGAGGCTCTCCCCAGCTGAGCGGGCCGGGTCGGTTGCCGCGGGGCGGGGTGGGGCGGATGAGACGGAGACTTCCCGCTCGGGGTCAGTGCTAAAGCGAATGAGCATCGGTTTAAACCCGGCAGAGCTGCTCCTACCGTTCCGGTTCCACCGTTCAAAGCTGGATTGGATGTTTCATTCGCGTGTGTTACTGGAAAAAAGGCTTGTTGAGAATCCACAGCCACGGCCAAACAGGTGAGGTCCTACAGCCACAGCCACGGTAGACCCGGTGAGTGCCCTACGAGCAAAACTGACTCGGTCAGAATCTCACCAGGGTCGTTGCTTTATCTTATGTTTGATATAATACGACTCCTTTTGTTCCCAGGATATCAGAATATTCTGAGAGCGCCCCAGGGCGGGGAGGTGGCGCCGGAGGGTCGACACGACCGTCCGAAGGGGGCGGTGGCCGCTCACAAGGGAGACGGGTCGGCGGACCCCACCAGCGGCAGGCCAGAGGTGAGATACGCTCAGACGGCAGCTGCGGCGGTCTGGGCACAGCCAGCATTCAATGTCTCACTCGACGACTATTGAACCGCATGGCACGCCTATCTGCTCTATGTTATGGCACGCCTATCTGCTCTGTTTTGATATAATCTGATTCTATGGTAAAATCTGATTCCAGCTCTCGAGTATTTTTTGCCTGCATAGCACACAATTCAGAAAGATCTCACAGGCCCACCAAGTTAAACTGATTTAATTAATTTGTTCTTTTTTTGTGGTTAGATCCACGTCCCATGCACATTGCACAAGCCACACGTTACTGCAGAGTGGAGACATATTTCCGTTGTCTGTTTTGTCATCCTAATCCAAGTGCGTTAATGGAAATGCTTGTCGTCTGTCTTAGACCCTTTAATCCTATGCTCCGACATCGCTGACCTTATGATCCTAACCGCCTGCCCTCCTTCCTCCGCGCAGTGCTGCATCCTCCAGCACGCCTACCTATGCTGCCCGCCGCTACAGGACAGCACCTGCTGCCCGTAAAGCCATAGATGGCGCCTGGGGGACGACCGCTCACCGGAACGAGAGACTAGCCTCAGGGGCCTGTGTGGAAACGTCAACCTTCGACAGCGAGACGAATGAACGACACGAGAGGCTTCAGCGCTGCATAGAGTCGGCCTGAAACTCGACACATCAAAGTCGGAAGCTGTTTTGCACGGATGACTTCTGAAATTGTAGAGCGTTAAATTACTGCATGCTCATTGCTCAGTGATGATTGCAACTTTGGCCGAAACAAAACCACTGATGGTAGTCGTAATTTGTTCCCATAAGTTGAAAAAGGTTCACTTAAGCCCACATGCCATCAAATGTCCTCGTGATGAATTGCTAGTTTTCTTCGTCGTTAAATGCGTCCTGTGATTGTCTACAATACACAGTAATTGAGCCTAGCTGGGAATGATGGTTGGCGAAGTACCCTGTTTATACGCATTACGTAAGGAAGTGCAGCTATTTAGTGCACACATGGCCACCCTCACTGAGGACTGTCGTCCGAGTGGAACAGACCCATCCGCCTTCTAATGGGCGCCGTGGGGTCGGTTTTCGGTGCGTATGTGTGACACATGTCGTCTGACGGCGTCCTAGGCAATAGGCAAAAGCGCCACACTGAGCTATTTTCTCGAGAAGTAATGGCTGCAGTCGATTGACGCTTGACAGACAATCAAAAGGACAATTAATAGACGGGCTGATGAGCAAGAAAATAAGTCATCTAATTTTGTAACTTTAGGTACTATAAATATGATCCCTGTCGACATTTGATAGCAATGAGATACGACATTCATTCACAATGGCTTAAAACAGCTATCTAGTCCCTAGCATGACTTTAAGGATGATGGCATAACTTCTGAAAATATAAATATGTGAAAATGCCAATACATAGACCCGTAATCGTCAATAAACAGAAAAAGGATATAATAGGTACACATATCCAGTAACCTTGGGGCCAGTCCGATGTGACTGTCTGTGTGTTTGGCGGCAGGACTCGCCGGCTGCCGGTGCCTCCCCGGCCCGGCTGAGTGTGAACGGCTCCGTCCTGAGCTCGCCGTACGCGGGCCGGTCTCGGAGGTCCTCCGGTTCGTCAGTGACCAGCCGGAGCGGCCGGCGCAGCGGCACCCACTCGCCGCTCGCTGCTCACAGCGGGCCGGCTAACAGCAGGCCAGCCGCTCACCCCAGCGCCGTGTCTCCAGCACAGCTGGAGGAACTGCGTACCCTGGAGAGGGACAGACGCGCCGCGTCGGCCAGTTCGGAGGGCCAGCACGCCTCTCAGCCGGCCATCACCGCCGGCCAGTTCGCCCGCGCCCTGCGCCGGGAGAACTTCTCCCACTGGCCGATAGTGGAGCCGCTGTCAGACGCGACGCTGCTGGCAGAGCCACCGCCCGGTAAGCAGGCGGAACGCACTGTGGCGCTACGCCCGCTGCTCCATCCTGGCCCGACCAACTGCACCAAGAATGTGGTGGTGCGGCCGCGCACAGCACCGACACCAGACACCAAGGCGCCGACGCCGGACACGAAGCCGCCCCTGCTGACTCGCCGGCCCACCACCGCGCTGGCCAGGAAGGTACCCGAGATTGAGTACGCCCTCTGTTGGAACCTGCCACCGCCTCCGGAGGAGCCAACACAGCCGGAACCCGCGGACGCCGCAGGATCAGACGACTCTGGAGTCCAGACTCCGCGCCAGGCCTGGCTGGGGCCGGACTCAAGGCAGCTGACTGACCGGCTGCAACAGCTGCAGCGCCAGCGGCCCGGCTCGCCAGCTGCGCCGTCGTCAGGCGGCTCTCCTGAACCGGGAGAGTCAGGGTATGTGACGCCGGCGGCAGCTGGGCCGGCACGCTCCCCCAGTTCTGCCGGTTCCAACGGAACGCGGAGTAGCCGTGGAGGTTCAGCACAGACGACCTCCAGGAGAACCGGTGGATCAGCTCAGCGGTCGGCGAAGGCGAGCTCCAAAGGACATACAGCGGCTCAGGCAGGCTGTGAGGGTGGTGAGTCGGAGCGGAGCGGCCGACCCGAGACCGCCCGCCCGCCGACGGTCTGTAGTTGTCGGCTGTCTCGGACGGTCAGCGCGCCGGATCTGCTTCAGACCACCACGACGGGAACGCAGACCGGCACCGGGTGCAAGCGGTTCGCTCGCGCCTGCGCCGCCTGCCAGCTGGTCCGCCGACCGGAGCGGCCCCTAGAGACGGTCAGCTCCGAGTTTCGGCCGGCTCTGCGGGCCGGCCGCGCCAACTGGCGGCCCGAGGTGCGGCCGAACGTGCCGCAGAGCCGACGCCGGCCGCGGCTGGCCGTGCACCGGCCCGAGCCGCCGCCACCACACCGGGTCACCACGCTGACGCCGCCGTTCGCCATGTGGGCGGACCGGCGGCGGGACGAGTACCCGGCCCGGCACCGGCTGCAGACCACATACGGTCTCATGACGCGCACCGCACTGCAGCCGCGCCGCGCCAGGTCCTTCCAGAGCCTCGTCTACCAGTGAAAGGACAGCGACCACCGACCGGCCCTTCCAATACCCGCCGCTCCTTCCAGAGCCTCGTCTACCAGTGAATCGCTAGCAACGATCATCCCTACTGCCACAGCTGCCGCCAGGTGTTTCCAGAGCCTAGTTTACTAGTGATAGGACAGCGACCGGCCCTTTCAATACCCGCCGCTACTTCCAGAGCCTCGACAGCCAGTGATGGAACAGCGAGGACCTGCCGCTACTTCCATAGCCAACTGCCACTCATTACTGCCAGAACCGGAATCAACTGCCAAAACCAGCCGCTTCTTCCAGAGCGGATTCTAGATAGGTCCGTGAGAACCGGTCAGCTCCTGCCAGTCAGTCGGTGCCGCCAGAGCCCCCTCCAACTGCCATAGCCGCGTCAGGTCACCTCAAAACCTCGTCTACCAGTGATGCACCCGCGAGGCTCGCCTGTTGCTGTCTGCCAGCTATTTTGCTGTCTACTAGCGATAGACAAGCGCTATGTCCTGCAAACTTGTTCGGTTCGCGTAATCGAAGTGCAATTTGTAATTATTAGTCTTTATAGGCTCAGCGTTTTATGATTACCTCAACTAACTGAGGCATGTATTCTGCAATCTGCACAGTGCACACATGCAGGCATTAATGAAAATGGACGAATTTGTCAACTTGACGAATGTATTGTGCAATCCAACGGTTTCCAACTTCCATTTTGAACTCTGTTTAGTGTTTACCCTCGTTCGCGTTCATCTTATAAATCTATTCACATTCAACTTTCGCAAGTATATGTAGACCGCACAAGTAGCGTTTGCCAATCTGGCTTGCCACTGGCTTATTGTGATAGGATAGGGAGTTACCTAATTACTAGACTTTCAGTGCATTTTTTGAAGGCATTGCGCAAGAACTGCCCTACCTGCTCAATGTTTGTGCTCGCGCCGGAGTGCAATGGAGGAATGTTGGCTGTTTTGTTTATTGTCTATCGTTTGTAATCAGGGTATAAATAGTTCCCAACGACAGGTGAGATCACCAGTGTTTGTGTTATGTGCGGCACGCAACGGTTTCGATCAACACGAACGGTAAAACGTGACCGGGCGGACAGACCAGGCGACCGACGCCGTGACCGGTCTGCCCAAACCGACCCTTCGTAACTGGACCGCGTGGACCAGAGGTGCTGATCAGGGATACACTTTTCGGCCTAAAGGTTACAAGATTATCAGGAGTATGAAAAATAATCTCTTGCTCATATCTGAAGGAATTAAAAAAATTAAAGACCAATATATATTCGGGCGTGGCCCTTCCTCAGTGGTACAGTGTTACAATGGAACAAGAGAGACGAGAGACGTTCCATTGTAACACTGTACCACTGAGGAAGGGCCACGCCCGAATATATATTGGTCTTTAATTTTTTTAATTCCTTCAGATATGAGCAAGAGGTTATTTTTCATACTCCTGATAATCTTATCAACAATGCTCAACTCAACGTTTCAATACCTAAAGGTTACAATACTAAAAGTAAAACGACACCAAATTGACTCGTTCGAACGTATCCGACTGCGACTGAACTGCCGTAGCAGTCCTGACTAGCAGCACCAACTATAGTCGAATCCCAGTGCTGTGCGTTGTTTGCATCATCGGCAATGGTGGCCCTCCTTCATCGTGCCCGAATGTACAGAATTTCATGTCGAATTGAAGCAATAAATAATAAGCTATATTCAGTAACAACAAGTCAGCATTATACAGCATCGTAATTCGCATAATTGCCGGTATCCTACTTAGTTTCATATTCAAACAGTTCATAAACAATGGAGTACGGTATAGGTATGTAAAGGACACACGTCACACCCCATATTTATGTTAACGACACGCCCCATATTTTAGCGCCGTATCGTTGGTGAATTTAATTAAAGTATGTCTCCGGCCATGTCCCTTCCTTACCAGTGTTATTTCATCTTTATCCGTGCAAAGCGGGAAGCCGCAAGAGTGCAAATGCGAGGCGAATCGCCACAAGAGGTATAGCTCGGTGTGGTGTTATTGCAAGTTGATAGGATTCACATGGCATGCAATTATTGCCTACCTCGCCGATATGTCACAGCTTTGCAAGAAATGACGGGATCTATTTGTTCACGGCGCTTCTAATGAGGACGTGCTAAGCTCACCGCCGCGCCGTCTGCCGAGACGGAGCGGCGTGCATAGAACGATGGATAAACGAACTGCACGACTTGTGACACTGACACTGACAACATATCAATGCCAGCCGACACCCACTACCGGCAGCGGTCAGCAGACAGTCACGGCAATCAGCCCTTTAGAAAAACACTAAATAATAATATCCATACATTGCAGCAGAAAGGGGCGGATACCTATGACTTTAGTTGATGTCATCAGGCGAACCGGGCGCGTGATAATAAATTTGGCCCGTTCCGGTGGCCTCGATGGGCCAAGTGTGATCTGAAGAAGGCTGACGCAACGGAATGGGCGTGGTGACGAAACGAGAGTTCCACAGCGTGTGGTTCCGTTCGGCGGCACGACTCCGGCCGGTGCACGTGACACCCCACTCGCTGACTGCTGGACCGTGGCCAGCGGCCGGGACCGGTGGCTGATCGAACAGAGCTGCCGTCACCGCCGCTAGTCGCACCTTCCAACCTCCGAGCAGCGCTGCCTCCCTCTAAGGTGGGCCCGCCGCCGCCGCCAAATTACATCAGCCAGACGGCAGGGCAGGACGGAGGGCCGCGCTCTCACCAGCACTCGCCCTGCCCTACCCAGCCGGCTCGGCTCATCCTGCATGCTTAGCACACTAACTACTGACAGTCATAGCCATCTGATGACCCATCAACTGCCTACCGGCAGATATAACAAACATATCATTGTCATGACCCACTGAAGACGTGTGTCGAGGGATATCCTGCCCGCTGCCGGTCGGGCGACGCGACGGCTGAGACCGCA